GAAGCTGAAAGTGCAAATAAGGCCAGTGACTAAACCTTTCCGGCAATTACATTTAATAAGGTACTGCGTGTTATGTACAGAAAACATACAACACACTTCCTACACATAAAATGCATACAAAGTATAAAGACAAAGGCTGCACTCCCATAACATGCTAAACAAAATAAATAAAACTGAATTATTTTGGCACAATAACTATTACATAAATAAATATTCTAGAACATAATGAATTAACATTTATTTACAGTCTATTGAAAGTGCAAAACAATTGGCTGAAAATTAAGATATTTGTAAATGCTTAAGACCAGAAAATATGTGTTAACCAGCCACAATTAATTATAGCCAAAGTTTAAGGTTTTAATGTCCAGGAAATTATTCTCTTGAAATCTGTTTGTGCATATTGTGCTCTTTTTGAACCAGTCCTTTGCTACCTTTTTGCTATTGACTTTGACAACCTTACTATCGTAATGGAATTTTGTAAAAACCTGATTAGTAGTTTAAAAAAAAGAAGTAAAATGTAAACACAGATTAATATATTTATCATTCCAAATATTTTCAGTCCTATCAGTTTTCTGAAATGGCCATACTGCTTGCAGTAGTAGGCAGTATCTGTTGTATTTCAAATGGAAATATTTGTAAGTCGCCTTTGAATTGAACTATACCTCGGACCTCTTGAACCTACATTCTTTCATCAGATGCTTTCATACATCTTCTGCTGAGGTCAACAGTAGCTAGGCAAGGTAAACTGATGATCAGTTTTGGTCCTGACCTGGAGAATAAATCATGAAATACCAATTTTTAATTAGGGAGAAAAACACTACCTCCTTTAGAATTGTTAGAAGCTTTTAGTGCATTTTCCAATAACTATTCTATTTTATCTTTTGCCTTTTTTTATCGTTATGAGAAATCATTTCCTACACTTTAAGAAGAATTAACCATTCCCAACATGGCCACCCGTACAGCTACAGTGCATAAATTCTTCCTCAGCCAAAGTTCTCTGACAGGCTGGTACATTGTGCGTTGCCCAAGACCTTAGAATATGTTTTTGCTTATTTTTATAGTGGCAGTGCGGTAGCAGAGAAAGTGAAGTTCTTAACAAGTGACCTTGACAGGATAAAAGATCATTTCTCATCATTGCTTCAAATGTTTATGCTCGACGCGGTTCTAGTCGGTGAGACATCTGTGATAAAGTTCTCTGGTTGTCAATCACATTTAATTGCCGCACATAGCTCCGAACATCCTGATGGTTCTTATTAGTTAGGGCTGCGTCAGGATCTGGTGAAAGAGAAATGATGTAGGATTGATACACTTAAACGAACAAATGCCTGAACAGAATGCATAACTCTTTACAAGCTGCCACAGGAAACACCAGATCCTGGTGAGTTAAAAAGAAAATACTTAGAGATCGCTCTCTTCGAAACATTTCCTCCAAGTCTTTCTGGCTACTACCATCACAAATTAACTACTTCTCTTAGATACCCTTGGCTACATTTGCTCAAATTGATGGCCCTTGGTTACAGTTTTATACACCACCTTACCAGTCAATAGCTATGAATTATATAGCTAACTAGTATGATTTAAAGCTGCCCAGCTGCTTTTGAACCAGCAGCTTTCACACAGATTCAAAACTATATAATTGATATAAGCCTCATTTCATGAAATATTCCCATTTCTAACTCAGTATTAAATATTCATAACACTGTAGTGCTTAGTGGCTGCTCCATTCAAGCCTCAAAATTTACTGTTTACATCACTTAACATAACCGCATTATACCTACTCCAATAACGATTATGAGTTAAAATCTGAGTATCTTCAGCCTCACAGTGAACAGCTTACATTTGAATGAAATATGTGTTAGGTAACTTACATTTCTGTAAAAGAAAGATACTGAATCATCTACTACATATAAATACACGTACACACACACACAAAAGTCATGGGACTTAGATATGATACATCTATATACCAACATTTTGTTTTATTATGTATAGTGAAAATCCACTTCCATTTCTAAATATGTGGAGGTCTCACTAGTGCTTAGTACATTAAAATTAGAAGATACACAGCCAGAAAAATCCTGATGGTGGGAGAAAAAAAAAGCTTCCTTAACTTGACCTTATAGAATTAAGCTTTCACCCAGATGGAAAGAAACTATTTTTATAAAAATATATTGCTTTATATTATTTATTCTGTTTCATTGTTTTATATTATTTATTCTGTTCTTTGAGAAAGAGGAAGGCTGCTGTGAGGCAAAATGAATGGAGTGCTGAGGAAATGCCAGTGTGACTGGGACTGACAGTGCACCTAGATGGGACGAGACCCACAGAGCAAGCCTGTTTGACCATACAGCTCTGTCATCTTACATGGCCTCAAGTAAGTTCTGGTAATTATACTGACAAACAGGTTTTAAGTTCATCACCTTATGCAGCTATGTCATTTATAAACATCATGTTTCTGGCCTGGGTTCCTATAAGAACAGGGTTTATCCAAGCAACTATCTGTATGCTGCTGTCTGCTAGCCTTATTTCAACCACTTCTGAACCCAGTGGCTAATTTCAACCAATTCTAATTTGACAGATGTGTAGAGACCTCACAGATATTTAGCTCCTTCACATGCTTAGAAAAGAGACGGAGGAAAAGGGGCTTATTAGAGCTTCCTGAAGGGTATTTCACCCCATGAAACATCAGAGGATCCAAACACGGAAGAATCACTGGAATCCAGGCTTTTCAATTCTAATACACACAGAATTAGTTGTAATTACTGTAGCTACTGATGATAACACTGTCTGTGCAGATGTTGCAATACACTTACTGAACGACTGGCTTCGGCAGAATTTCACCGTCCTGACAGTGTTGGCAATCATGCGCTGGAAAGAAAAGATGGGATGCAATCAGAGAACAAGCACTGTATTTCATCATCATTTAAACGAAGCACCTAACTGTGCCTAAGTGTGAAGACGTATGCCAATAAAAGCAGTCATATGAATGAAAATAAAATTTTAATGCTGATACCCTCATATGTAGGGTGTGATTTGCATTTACACAGGCTTTAAATGAGCACGAGTGTAATTTACATGCGCTCAGAGAACCCTTTCCTTTGCTTGGATGCTATAAAAGGCCTTAACTAAGAACTAAAATCAGCCCCTTCAATGTGCATTTCTTTGATAACATCTTCTCAAATTAACAAGTAAAAGGAATATAATGTAGAACACCTTGGAGTATATACACATGTTAATTTTAAGGCCATCAGTTCCTAACAGCACGGCCATTTCTAGAGCATACTCAGCGATTAAAGAGCTTTCACCTTTCATATGAGTTTCAGTTTAAAATGCAGCCCTCCTGGAAAACGACAATGTAAAATAAGCATGTGAGGCTGTATGTTCCTTGATTCCCTCTGGAAGTATGCTTGATTCACAGGTGAGAAGGCACTGTTAGAACTGTGGCCCTGCAGCTGTTTCATCAAACAGACCTGTTAGACAGTGTGACCTGGTTTGAGCCAAAGCAGAACTAATTTTGTTCAGTGATTTTACTTTTCAGTTAAGTTTCTTCTAAGTAACTGCACTTTCTGAAATCAACAGCCTGTTTTTCCGGATAGTGCCTGCTTCTAGGAGTGACAGCGCTTGATATTTATGGTTAATGCCAAGGCATAGGACGCAGAAAGGCTCTTGCTTATACTTGCTCCTATAGTAACCAAGGTCATTGCTAAATCTTGTACTCCGTGTTGGGGTGCCGGGAGTGAAAAGGGTCGCAAGCACAAAAAAGGTCACACCTGCAGGGAGAAGCGAGCCAGCCAGGTGGCCCAAACCTGACCAACAGAGTATTCCATCCCATACACGTCAGATTCAGTATAAAGCTGAGGGATCATGAGGGTCAAGCTCTCGTCTTTGATGGCCAACATCCGAGGAGGACTCCATTCGTTCTTGTGTCTTCAATCCCAATATGTGTATTCCTGAATCCAGTTCCTGCACCCAGTTCCCATCTGCTGCTGAGTCCAGCCTGGGACTGCCCCAGTGCCAGCCCTGCAGTGCCAGCGGTGACTTATGGTCAACGAGGGGTGGGGAGTTGGGTTCAGTATTGGTTTTGTGTATATTTCATTATTTCCTTATTTTTATTATTATCGTTTCTTTTATTGTTACTATTCCATTAAAGCTGTTTCAGTTTTCTTTTCCAACCCTTCCCCTTCTGGAGGGAGAGGGGTAATACAGAGCATTTGCCAGTGAGCCTCAGCCCACAACACAGCATTAGCTTACAGAAGTGTATCTAACCCAACCTGAACAGTGGATTCATTTTTGGTGGACACTTCTACTGGCAATTCACAAAAAAAGCATAAGTCGCTTCAGTCCTTCTTGGCTATGCTTGCTCTTCAGTAACTGAGCCATCATTTCAATTCAGGTAAGAAAATATTAATCAATGCATTTTGCTCTGATAAATCAGGTGCTATTTTACAATAGTTTTTAAGAACAAAAATGAAGGTAAGTCATACAGCAAAACATTTCAGATGTAGTTCTGGTCTGCAAAACTAACTGGCTCATGTGATTAGCACCACACAGGTAATACATCCACCAGTGCGGGGGCAAAATTAGTTGTTCTGCATAGTATCAAATAAACTGAAACTTCAGCAGTAAAACTGCATTCCTTAGCTAGATAGTTTGATTCAATCACTGTTACAAGGACATTTGTTTCCGTTTCCTTTGCTTAGATTAAGAAAAAGCAGAAGTAGGAAACGCTATTCCTAATCAGAGTCTAATGTTTGTTCCAGCACTTTAACATGGTCCAACAATTACAACACAGCTACCTGCTTTAACACAGCACGCTCTCATCAGCCTGCTTCACACCTTGACATTTTGTGTGAGATTAACAAGCTAGTAATAAGCCCTCACACATTAGAATGATACATTTCTTACTAGTAAACAGTAAACCTTAGGGCATATGCTCCTCAAAGTTAACACACAATTATAATCTTACATGAAAATGATGTTATAAATAAAGTATCTTTGTAAAATCTGTCATTCCAGAAGTGGGAAGCACCAATGTAAAACACTCGTTACACACATACTGAATAATCTTAGACATTTTAATGCACTGTCAAGCATACAAAAATGGGTATGGCTGGCAGTCAGCATTAGAAACATCATTGTTCTACATTTTTGTGGATTACACATTGTATAATGAAATGTAGCTATCTGATCTAACTGATCTAAAATATTTTAATTCTAAAACACAAATTCCCAAAAGATCTAGGGAATTTGGACATGGGTCTGCTTATATTTTTTCCTAAAGTCATATGTATTTACATGTGGAAAATGAGTAATTTCAAGTAAGAATGATTTTTATCTTATGTTCATTTTCATATCTCTTCAAACTGTTACTACTAGGCATATTTTCTAAGGCGCTTACCTTGCAAACATTCTCATATGTGCTTAGCATTAAGCATGTGAATGAGCCCTGCTGACTTCAGTGTCTCTTAAATACTCAAAGATAAGCACCCATTATAATACCGCATGAGATAGAATGCTCTGCACATTACAGTGTTGGTTCTTCAAGTCTAACCCAATCAAATAAAAACCAAAACAACAGGAATATGTAAACATGAACGTTTCATAACTCAATGGATTCATATACGGCTCTGTTATGTGATGCTGCTCTTTTGATTTATACCATTTCAAAAAGTACTCCCCTAAAATAACTATTTCAAGCAGAGACCATAAAGTTGAACTGGATCAGCCAACCTGATGAAGTTTCAAGCATGTCTAACTTCAAGGGAAGCTTTGCTAAGGACACTTCTTTTTTAAGAAGACAGCAAGTATTGATTGATGTGCTTTTGAGATGGATTGTTAATACACACTCTAATTTTTTATACCTGTAAATGTTTAGGTTTTGAAGCCTCATTTCATAATTAACTTTGAAGCTAGACTGTAGGCTCAGTGTTTGATTAGTTTAGTATTACATTTCTCAGGCAAAAACTTAGATGTATCAAAAAATGTGTGTTCCGTGGAATCATTTTACTCTTTATGTGGGGAATTTATTTGGAAGAAAAAGCATAGCATTCAGTATAAGCACTGTAATGCTGTATTGTACCGAAAGACAAATTATGCGTGTAGTTAAGGTTTTTAAAAGTTTTCACTATTTCTAAATTTCTCATTATACGGGCTATGCCAGGCAAGGAAAACCAAAGTGGCAATGAACTTGTCTGATTTCTGGTTAAAGGCTGAACTGCCTGGCTTCCTTCAGTTGGCTGAAAGGCTTAATTTTAAGGAGTTACTTTGCCTGTTCCTAAGGATAATCTCATTCAACCTGTGCATTCAGAAGTATCCTGGCAATGATGAAACAGAAAGGAATAAGGAAGTGGGTGTTAAGGCAGAATAAATGGAGAAACTGTGGCCAGAAGACAGCATTGCAACCCAATGAGGAGATTCCGGAGCATTATGTATCCTTGAAGAGCTCCTCTTTGGAAGGTGCAAATTGAACAGAAAAACAGCACATGAAGCGAAAGTGAATTTCCCTTCCTGAATCTTGTAGATAAGCTGGATTGCCTTCTTTTGATTCAAGAAAACTAGAAACACGAACAGAGAAAATGTTCAGATAGAAGTTTAATTGCCAGCTCCTTACAATTTTTCTTCAAATAGAGGATTACCTCTAGTTAAAGCCTGCAAAAATTAACCTCTGTTTACTCACTGTGCTAAGAAAGACCATTATCAAAAAGTAATACAAACCTAAATTTGGATCTTTCTGAAATAGAATCAACTGCATAATATAACAAGCAACCACTACTACCAGCACGCTATATATACAGAACAATACCCTTTCAAGTTTTATGCAGTCTGGAACAGTGGCAGCAGGCCAGCACATTATCTTCTAATCCATTCCAAAGCCAGGTTTCTAAATGTTATAAATATTCATATATGCCATAGAAAACTACTAAGGGCTTTAGTCACACACTTTTTGCATAATCTTTATGTTCCAAAAATGAAAGAATGTTTGCCCTTTTTTTGCATAAGGATCAGAGTGTGAGTTCCCTTTTGTTCATCTCCACAAAACCCGAAAACCAATATGCGCAGATTCTCTAATCCTCATTTCACACCTGAAGGGTGAAAAGGCTTGACAAAAAGAAGCATCAGTGGCCAGCATCATGGCACTGTCTTGTGCTGCTGTGGCAGGTTAGCACTTTCAGAGCTCTCTCGTGACTTCTGCTCCCTCTACAGGTGCCATTTCTGAGACATGCTGGGTAGTGCGACATGGAGATGGGTGCCATGGAAAGTGATCTTTGTTCAGGCTGTCTGATTATTTGAGAAATGGCACTGATAAAGTTCTCAAATAATTGCATCTTCCCTCTCTCTATGAATACAAAATTCTGTACTGGCAGTCAGAGTGCAGGATTATGCAGCTGAGGTTTGAAAAAAGCTCAAGTCAGTAAGTGGTCAAGAGTATGAAATACTGCCTGTCCTCAAGGAGAGTCATGCTCAGTACTTTCCTCACTTTCTTCTCTCTTCTTTCCCTGGCAAGACATAATTACAAGAAAGGGCTTTCAAACTTTTTCTAAATATATAGCTATAAAAACAGTGTCACTTGAATGTTATATATTGCCATGTACTGCACTGCAGGTTGTAGGCTGTCCTGTATCTGCTAAATCATACAGAGTTTATAGGAACTAATACTACTGACAGCTTTGAGGGCTCTCCGTCACCTGAGAAGAGGCTCATTAATGGACCTAAAAGACAAATGTCTATTTTAGATCACAAATGAATTGTGTTTCTATCTAATATCATCTTTTTATCTTTAACCTACTTGCAGCTCTCAAAATGTCCTCAACCTGCCAAACTACAACTACAGCATTTAAAAAACTATAAAAGCCTGTTTATTCCTTGTTCCTGTATGATAAGTATGTCTTCATTTTTTCCATAGATGGGTCTTCTAAAGCAACACTTACAACTTACACCTACTCTCAACTCACTAGTGGAGAAAAGATTCAGGTCATGGAGTATATGCCAACCTAGAAGGTACATCTGAGCAACAGCATGATGGAAACAGCTTGTACCTTGTCTCCACCAGCTTCTTACAGTGAGATAAGGAAAAGACCTTCAATATTCCTATAAAACCATGTCTTGTTTGGTATTGAAGACAAAGCCTTTTACTAAAGGCTTATACTCCTAATACCAGTAATTCTTTCCACTTCCTGACAGAAGTATAAATGACACGTTTCAGACTGGATTTTAAGGCCAAATGTTTGTTTCCTCCACATCCCACCCCACCCCGTGGCCCACTTTAAGCAATAGATGGAACAGTAAAGAGCACAAGTACAGTGCAAATACAAAGAATATACCTATTGCTGACACATTTAATATTGTTTGCCCACATCTTGTACAAACTTCCCTCCTTACACATAGCTGTGGCTCTACCGCATGTGTTATTCTCTTTCCTGCCCTCCCACTCCTCACAGCCTCCTCCAAATAAGAGACATCCACAGGGATCAGGAAATGGGGAAGGGGAAGATAGAGCAGGCAGTTACAAAGGCAGAAGCAGGGAAAGCTCAGCAATGCTCTGCAGAGTGATGTCCCCCACTACTGCCAATACCACCATTCTGCCACTACACCTCTGAAAAGATTGATTTATAGGACAGTGTAGCAGGAAAAAATTGACTCAGTCCCTTCCCTTTTTTAGCTTGACTTGCTAAAAAAAACTAGGCTAATGTGGTTTAACACCATCTGTCTGTTTTTCCCTTTTTCTGTAGATAATGTTGCCAAATTTGAAAAAAGAACTCACGAGTTTTCAGACATAAGAAAGCTCCTACCAATTTACTGTGAAAATAGATGGCTGTGGACAAGAGAAAGATCGTTTAAGTGCCCTCTTACCCGTCTCCTTCAGAGAAAACGCTGCAGTGCAAGTTCCTATGTTATGACAAAAGCCTATTCTCACAGAATTCCCCAGCCATGAAGAAACAACACATGCCCCAGCCACGAGGAAAGCTCTGAGCAGAGCTCAGGCAGCCATGAAACACAAATGTTTAGGAAACCAGGCCTCACTGTTTCTGGCACTTGGGGAACTCCCGGCTCAGACACTGACGGCTCCTGCATGTTTTAAGATGCATCATTTAATATAAATAACAACAGAAACATCAGAAAACATAAAAGATTTAAAGGAAGCTGTTTCAGCTGAAGAGATGCCACTACATCAAACTTCTACTTTTGGCTGACAGTTACAGGAATAAAGTTGTCAGCAGCACATCAGCTGTCGGGATCAGAGCTCTGTGGTGAGAATGTAGACATGATGCCAGAGGCTGTTCTCAGTTTCATCACTATGCTTACACAAGAGATGGAGGGACCCACCTCCTCCAGTGGCAAATGGCACCACCAGTGGCAACTACACAGATATTTTATTCATAAACTTCAGCAAGCATCAAAGTTAGGATGGATCAAGGGAAATAATTTTCAAAAGAACAAAGATGTTTTACACAGATCAGTAATAGAATGGGTCCCAGCAACATTCAGAGCTATGTCCATCTGCTTGTGACAGAACATCATGCAGCATAACGAACTGGCAGAAGCAACAAATGGCAGGACACAATTTCTGTGAGGAAATCTGGTTTCCGCTTTTCTCCTGAAAATGGCAGAATAACATCGCAGATTTACCTTGCGTTTATTCTTATGTAAAAGAGAGCTGAATTTATCTGTGTATTATCTGGCTGAGTGGTCTTGTCTTCACTAGTTAATATCTGGCAATTATGTGTGGATATGACAGTTGTAAGCATAACGCAAGTAGGCGGTAGCGACTGAGGTTTAACAGCAGGCTTTTCTTCTCTGCTTGACCCGATGACACATGCAAAAAGCTAAAAACTGCCAGGTCCACATTAGGATTTGAATGAATTATGTGGGTGGAATCTGAATATGTTGCTTTGAAGAGCTATGGGTTGAGAGAAGCAGTAAAAACACCACAGAAGCATGCAGAATACCCAGTGAAGAACACTAAAACCACAAAATATATACTTGTAGCAAGGCCTGGAGAAAAAGCAGAGTGAGCTTTTAGGTAGAGCACTAACTGAAGAAAGGTTTAGAATACTGAGAAAGGAGAATGTTTCCCTTTCTGTCGTGTGGAAGAACATGAGACATTATATTTATTCTTTGAGAAATATACAGCACCAAAAATACATTAATTGATCTTCACTTTCCCCTCCTAAAGGAAAAGCTCAAAGCTCAGACTACTGATCAAAATGGGTGATACTACCATTCATGCAGTATAAAATTTTACTTAAAACCTTTGGGTGCTACTACTAAACCCCTGTTCTGGAGGCAATGTGCAGACTAGGGTGAAAAGGGCAGACCTGCAGCAGTGTAGATATAGATCAGTCTGAGCTGCTATAAAATTCACTCTTGGCCTTGGGAGTGCCAAACTGCGATACAGAGTGCTGCAGAACCATTTCTAAATTACAAGCCTGGGTTGAACTTCTGTCTATGGGCAAGCACTCACAGAAGAGCTTCTGCCTCCTGTAATGGCTTTTACACATAATCAGGCATCAAGAAGAGCCTGAGGCACACAGCTCTAATGCCTGCAGATGTTCCGGCTCTTCTGGCTCAGGAGGTGTAAGCAGGCCAAGTGAGGTGGAGAACATGGAGCCAGTCATATAGCCACGGTTATAGCAATGCAGCTGCCATCTCTCCTGGTTTGGAGGTGCTCCAGCCAAGTCTGACAGCCCTTTGTGTTTCCCAAAATATTTACTATCTAAACTAAAATACATCTATTTATCTATCTAATTAGAACAAGCAGTCCAGGAAAAAGTCCTTTTCTGCAGGTAGAAGGCTCAAGGCCTTTGGAAGGAGATGGCAACACGTTCTGCATATGCAATTACAGAATGTCACTATTGCAAAGTGAGGTCAGGCCCTTACTCAGGCATTAGCACTACCATTAATTCCCAAAAAAGTCTCATCTTATTAAAGGGGTATTTTCACCCTAGGACAGCGGCTGTCCTGGGGCTACAGACTAAAATCTAAAAGAAGAATTCAGAGTGATGATCAGTTTTCTGTGGAGTTTTCTAAAGAGCTAGAAGTCCTCCTCTCTTCCCCTCTGTGGTATCAGTGCTCAGCAAGTAAGACAAGCTCCTTTGTAGTGCAGTAGAAGTAATCATGTAGTAGTTCTGGTTACTGTAGTAAGAAGAACAAGCAGATACAGGTGCAGAGTAGATATGCCCTAGCATAGCTGCTGCATCGAGCTTTACTGCAGAAACTGTAAGTCAGGTTTGGTTTTGCAGTGCAGCTGCTCACAGCTGGGCTTGGCTAACCCTGGTTTTCAGATGTAGGTGTCATGAACCACATTCATTAAGAACATGGCCTTAGCAACCAAGAAAACTGCTTCTTACTGCTCAGAAACTTGAGTTTCAGTTGAGATTTCTGCCATGGGAAGTTGCCTGCCTGCAGTTTTTAACAACATTGTTTGAAATAATGAGAACTTAGGCACAGGATTTAAAATATATCAAATCTGAGCATAAATTAACCTTCTGTCATTGATCCCCTTTTACAATATGCAAGCAATCAAGTCACAGAAGTCTCCTTTCACTTGTTAAAGGAAAGAAGAAAATAAGATGTTGTGCATGTTCTGCATTAAAGCTTCTTTCATTCTCTGAGGAGCAATGCAGAACTATCCCAGCCTAAGGCAGTTCAGTCTTGTTTGAAGGAACAGCAGTTAAAATCACAGCTTGGTCCCAAACTGGCTGTTAAAAATGGTCTTTAACAGCTCTGCTTCCTGTCACTGCTGCTGCCTCTCCTAGGAGATATTTTGGCTGTGCATGGCTCAGTGGACAATTGCTTCTCCACCTCTGTTATGTTTTCCAGAAACCCAGGTCTCAGGCACTGTGCACAACGCAGACTGTTTTTGCCAGCTCTTGGTCTTGCCTTCACTTTCTCTAGCCCTGAAAGTCATTGTTGAGAAGTTCACTCCTGAAGAGATGAACAGGGAGGTCTTTTTAAATTCTCGTTTCAAATGTGTCATACATACCATCTTTTCAAAGTTTACTAGGTTGTCAGTGAATGTCTTGTTTCCCTCATGAGTAAACGTCATGTCTATATAGAAATAAAAGCCACATAAAAGCCCATTAGTGAATCCTGGCCATACAACACAGCAGAACATTTTTTCGTTCCGTTACAAAAATCAAAGCAGCTATAAAAGTAAAACATTTAGTTTTTAATTTGCAGCATTTCTGAGACTAGTAAAATTGAGGTATAATATTCAGATGTACTAAAGCAGTTTTTCTTGTCTCTGTGTCATGCTTTTTATAATGGAAGAAGATCATACCTCACACTGAGATTGATTTTTGCTTTTTCTTGCTGCTAGTCTTATTCTTCAAATATTTGACAAATAGCTTTCAAGTTAATAATTCTAGTAACATCCAAGCTTACCTTTTATAAGTAGTGGCATGAAAGGAATTATTGGAGGGTCCAATTTAGCTACAGTTAGTCTGTAGGCCCTATGGTTTCTTGACGGATCCTTAAGAAAGAAATCAAATAATTACTAATATGTATTATTATATGTATTGAGACACTGTATGCATTCATTTAGATGTCATGGCATTTATTAAATTCATTATTTTCTCCTGTGGCTTTAAAAGTGCATCTGCAAACTAAGACACCTTTTATCATTCTCCCTACAGCTTACATAATGAGAATGCAGCCGCTAAACACAAACATTTTTCATGCCAAATAGCAAGGTAACATATGATTACAAAAAAATTGTTCATAAAAGAAACCACACATTTTTTCCTCCCTCCATGCAGCTGCAGATCCAGTTTTGCATATGTTGTAACACTAAAATGTATTGCCTGGAAAAATCCAGGTTGGAAAATATAATTTCCCATATGCACTATTGGAAAACATGTGATAAAGCTTTTCTGAGTTCCCAGATTAACTTTGAGTGGTACATAAGTTCTCTCAGAGTAGGTTCCTAAGAGTATAATTTATTAGTCATACATACTTGTTTTAGCAGCTCTAAAATAGGATCATAAACTTCTTAAAGTCAAACAAGGACATATAAAATGTTCTGAATCAAGGAATTCAAATCAGTTACTCAGAAACTGAATTAGCTCAGATTGTGCATAGAATAAGGGATCTATTGCTATTCACCATTAAGCTTTCAAACTCTGCATAGATCTTCTTGAACTTGCTTGGAAGTTTCTGTTAATAAAAACAAAAATAGCAAACGTTAATTAAATCCAATTTGTGTGGTAATTTTACTGTAAATGCTAGTTCCTTCTACAACGCCCTAAGTCAGGAAAGTGCTCTTTTTGCCAGATATTTCTAACAATGTGCTAATCTAAAATACAACATGTCTCCTAGCAACCAGATTATAAATAGAGACGGGACCAGCCATGAAACCTGGATCCTGATTTAAACCCCAACTTGAATTTACTCTTTTGGGATGTTTAGATTCAGATTTTTGTTCGTCTCATATTGGAATCACTGAATTCAGAATGTAAGTGAAAGTTCAAGCCAATGGTTTCAGGACACTCCTGATTGTAGCCCATGTGAAACCATAATTTACACCCAGCTTGCACAGGGATAACTCAGCTTCCTTACTCATACCTATGATGAACTGCCCTTGACACATTCAGATCCATGCCTGGGCATTTCCGTGAGTTTTTTTTGTTCATGCTGATTTATCATCAATCATCAAATTCTTGAAATGCCCAGCAGCCAAGGGCCTCTACCACTTTCTGGAGTATAAATTAATGAATAGTTTTTCAGCACACAATACCTACACAAACAAATCATGGTCAGTTGATCATGCAGTCATTGGGATGAGATGGGTTTTACCAAGTATTTTCTTTCCCCCTCATGTTATGTTAAACATATTAAATAATTTTACTATAAAGACTACAAGATATATTATAAATCAGTTTCAGAGATCACAGTAACGTTTCATGCACACTCAGAATATGTCAGCTTTCTAGTTTTAATAAGAAATTTCTCTATATTTGCTGATTAAATCATATTACTACTGGCAGCGGGTAACATTAAAAATTAATAGAGACTTTATAGTGCAGAAATGATTTTTTGCAATATTTTCTACATTTGGAGTGTGTACCCTAGCAAGATATTTACACTGTGCCACAGCAAGGGCCTAATTTTTAATGATGTGTGTGAACAACTGTGTGCCTAGTTTGCATATGCATGCAGATTAGGTATTTGTGAAATAAGTGGTATAATTGGACATTTGCACCTGCAAATACCTAATTTGTTCATGCAACTAATGTAAATGCATGATAATATAGCAAAAATCAGATCTTGATATGTTTGTTTTTAAGTGTATTCTATATAGATATCTGGCTAAAAATCAAGCTGCAGATTCTCTTAATAAACTGACTGCCCTACAGAACCAGAGTGTGATAACGTTTCCCTGAACTCAAGTTCATAACCCACACCTACACATGATCTGTGCCCCTCCAGCTCAGACCCTGTGCCCATTTCAGATTGCTGTATGTAGTGTATACGTTCAGTTCCCTCTTCTGTCCTCATACTACTCCTGTTCTGTCTCAGCTCTCCCAACTATTCCTCTCAGTAGCCACAAACGAAGGGTCATTATTTGGAGAAACGGAACTGTAGATCTTTGCCTTTAGCACTGATTGTATATACCACTTGCAACATGTACTTTTGAAAATGGGCCTGGTGTCTTCTCAGATGTGCTAGTCTGCTCTCCTGTTTCAGAGCACTTTTCTAAAGGCGTTCAAATTTTGGTCTCAGCTGCATCAATGACCTCAGTCATGCTAACTATTTTGAATGTCTAATGAAGAAAATATATGCACATTCAAATCTCCACTGCTTTTGACAACCTGTATGTTCCTAGTGGTTACATTGTGCCTACTGCCTCACCCTGCTGGACACTGCACCCTTTTTATGTACTCACATACGAAAGAGCAAAGGCACAGAGAAAGGTGGAAGCTCTGAGAATGAAAACCAAACGGACAGTAAGCAGGGGAATGCATGCCAGAGAGAAAACTGGACCTGGTTAGGACAAACCCACATTTTAATAGGGCAACAGAGTCCATATGGAGATCAGAAAATAATATGTAAAAACAGAGGATGGATTTTAGAGAAGTATCTACAGAGTGATCTCACTAAATGATCAGTAAAGTCAAATAGAGGACGGGCTGATGAAGGAGGTTAACTGGCTAACTTGGTTATCCTGTTGGGCAGTTTAGCTCATCAATAGAAGCTGCTGTTGTCACTCTTTTTAACTACTTGTGAGTATTCAGCACATCTATGGGTATACTGCCTCACTAATAAAAACTGTCAGCCTTAACTAAAGGCTTCTGCTCAGGAGCTGAATTAGTAGATCTAATTTTACCAGTAAATTTGTCATGTTTTTGCTAACTAAAAGCACAAATCCCTGTCAAACTTCTTGGAATTGGATTTTAGCTAAGACTTACCTCCCATGTTAACGAGAGACGGCTCACAGCAACATTACTCAGTCCCATAATAATAGCGAAAAAGGAATTCAGATTTTTGTATTCTTTACAGCTGAAACACAAAGTCGTAAGTATCAGGGCAGAAGTACACATGACAACCCTCTAAGAGCTGAACCAGGGATCTAGCATAGATGTGACTGACTTTGGGCAGCCCTAGCAGGCACACCTGTGGCATGCTGCTTCACCAACGTGTGAGTAATTCAGCACACACTGGAGGCTTCTTTCCCCTCCCTTCTAAAATGACCTCCTGCTTCCACTTCACTGGGTGCCAGCTTCTGCAAGGACATTAAAGGAGTCTTTGAAGTTCCTCCCAGAAACACAGTCCTGAAACTGGGCTCAATTCAGTCCCAGGAAATACCAGAAACAGTGGAAGCAACTGGTTTACAACCTCATTTGCTGCAGAACTTGCTGACAGCTACTGAATGCTGGAATCTGTCCCTAGACGATCTTCATCGCAGTCTACAGGGGTGCTGAGTCTTTTTAAAGGCCGAAGACCAGGCGTTTAGAGATGCATGCGTGTCATTGACCTCTCTTGCTGTATATGATTTCTAACTAGTACTTGTAGATTCTGGAACTCTTCAGGATGTTTCAAGCAAAGAACTGCCATTTGTTACCCGCATCATTAAAGAGGTCCCAGGCACTAGGAGCTCTAGGTCACCCTTCATCCCTAATGCAAAGAACTGTTGGTACCAATCAGGAAAAACTGGAAGATGTAAATGAGTATTATGGAAGATCCAACACACCATATGCAGGAGTAGACGCAATCTGAGAGGAACAGCCTGCACAACTGCTCAGCTGGGACTGCATCAGGTTGGTCATTGACACAGTGGGAGACTGCTGCCCCCTCAGATCTTCTGGCAGTGCTGCTCATACAAATTCTCTCACATCAGACTAGGGACAGTGAGCAAGGTTAGCGAAGATAAGCTGAAATGCTAAAGCTGCCCCAACTTATTCTGACTAGAGCAGATCAGGGAGTGTGCCTCATTAGTGGATCCGAGAGGAGATAAAGATGAAAAGCAGCCAGGACAGGCTGTCAGTGATAACTTCTTCCCCAAGCACAACTAAATCCAGAAAGGGGTATCTGTCCACAGCCTGTGACATTGAGAATAAATTGTGGCATGGTAAAAATAATTAGTATCACACAGCAGTAGTGTTCAAAGATACCAGGCAGCTGCAAATGCATCTGTAATGTGTAATTTGAATCTACCTTTCACTTTAAAAAGTTTTGCCACATACCCTGGTTAAGCAAAGTAATTTGACAAAGTCCCTGTTAAAATCCATCTAGATGTATGACGTTCTACACCAAATATTCTGTAAATTCTAAAGGCTCTACACTAAATAGCTCAGTTCCAGACAGAAGACCACCATGTGCTACACGGCTCCACTGCAAACATGCTGCCTGGAAATGTCAGAAAGTGGATCCTCCAAAGGACCAGTATCCTCACAGCAGAGGTCCCTCTGCCTCCCAAAACAAACTGTATTGGAATAAATCTTCCTGTTAGTATGAATTGTGCACACACATATGCACACACTCTTGTCTCCAGCACAAACACATGTATGATTAAAATCTCTAGGTACTTACACAAGCATGTTCATCTTGGCATTTTCCCTGTAAACACAGAGCCTTCAAAAATTTCTTACAGGCTCCTTGGGCTAGTAACATAGGCATGTGTCTGGAAAGAATGATTTTCAAAAACTGAATGAAAGTGTCTGAGTATAGTAACACACAAGCCTGTGGGTACATCTGCAAAGAGGAAATATGTGTGAACTGGGTTTGTGGATATCCGTAAGAGTGTGTTATATTCACAAGTACATCCTATAAGGCCTTTCTAATACAATTAATATGGGAAGAACTCACTGTAGGAAATATAGCTCACTTCTCCCCTTTGTTTGAAAGTTTAATCCTACAATGGCTGAAGAAAAGAGATGAACCTGGTAACCTCTACATACTTTCCCAGCAGATGTAAAGGCAACAACGGCTGCTGGGACTGAAAGCACATGTGCACAGCACTTGGAGCCAGCACCTGGCCTTGCACTTGCCTGCACAGAGAGGGAGCACACGTTACAGGGTGTGTAGGGTGGCAGACAAAATGATGTGGCTTCTGCAATGGCATCTGAGCCCCCCATCCTGGAATCGAAACAGGGTTCTCAGTAACAGTTATCTTTGAAAACTGGTATGTGCAAGGCATCTCATTACCACCAGTCGTGCCTAAGATTAATAGTGCAGCACTGAGCTGTTCTCCCTGAACACTTTTCTAATGAGTCTAGTACTTCTAGGTACGGTAAAGTTCTTATTAGGTCTCAAGGATCTTCACAAGCAAAACTTCCTCAAAGGTACTGCTTCAAGGCCTGGGCCTGCATCTTTTGATCCAATTCCTTGGCTTTTTCTCCCCTTAACTTCGGTGCACTTTGTGTTTGTTTAACGCATGCTGTAGCCCCTGTTGCCATGGCAGCACTGCACAGAGGGCAGCAGCCTGGCAAAACTTCCCAGCGCCTTCCCAGCCGCTGCAATTAAACCTGTTCGCTCAGTTCGTATGGAGGAAAATCTTCTGCTTTGGATTTCTCTGCTTTCAGGAGACAAAGAGGACTCAGCAGAGCAGGCCGCTTTTAGCTATTTATTTTTAGCATTGTAGTGATACCAGAAACATGGAAGTAAACAGGAGGTTGTCAAGCTGTTGTAAATAGCATAGGATTAAAGCCATGACGCTGAGGAACCCATGGGCTAGGGCTGTTTAATAAGGAGCTATTTAACTGTAATTTTCAGGATACTTGATTTCAAGTGTTTATGGAAATTACTATTGTATCTTAATTTACCACATTTCAACATTTTCCCATTTCATGCCTCCGAGTTCAGAAAGGCCCCGACGCGCCTGTGTGCGGGTGCCACCGCCCTCTCCTGGCCACAGCCCGCCGGGCCAGGCCTTGTGTCCCAGCTTCGCGCTGCGAACGAGAGCGTGGAATATGCGGTGTATCTGTTTTTAGAAACGAAAGAGGTAAATTCTGCCCTCTGTTCCGAATATAAACCTGATCCTGCAGGCCCACCCCTAGATTCTGGAAATCTTCAGCTTCGACTGACGGCACCCCAACCGGCGGGCCCAGAGCCGTTCCCTGAAGGAGGCCGGCACTCGCCGAGTGGCCCTTCCCGAGGAGGGAGGCATGCTGGTGCCAAGTTTCGATGGAACACTGACTTCAGCTATGGGGGATTATTAACTGGGAGGAGAGCAGCATCACGGCTGTAATTTAACCTCTTCCTTTGCACAACTACATTTAACGACACAAAAAATGTTAAAAACTGATGGCTTAACTGCAAGTGATAACTCCTTCGTTCCATCAGACTGCCTAATGGCCTCTGGTCACAGTGCCCAAAGTCACAGACAAACACTTAAACAGGCAGTTCCTCGCCACACAGCTCAGCAAACTGTTTGTTCAGAAAGTGATGAATGTAATAAATAGACTACAAACTGGAAAGGAAGAGGGTAACAGTGATAAAAACCGTTAGCTGTGCAGGGCAGGGGCAAGCCCCTGCCCCCTCTGCAGTCAGTCACACCCTTGCCCTTGACTTCTCTGATAAGGAGTCAAGGCTGACATCTTTGACATGAAGGCTCCAAAGAGTTTAAGTTTTAATACGAATACAAGAAGACAGCAACAATTGCCTAATATCCAACCTCAGACCCAGCAGTTAATAACAAAAAGGATATTCATATTGTTACATTTTTAAACAAAAGTATTAGAAAAATATACCAAGCAGACTGAAGGTAACATGAGCCTCATCATCTCCATACTACACCTCTTTGCTCTCCCCTCTTGGTCTACCCACTCGGAGCAATTCTGAGGACAGTTTTCCTGAACAGCACCAGAAATACTCCTGTTCTTACGAAAATTAAGGCTCAATTTTGTTAGTATTTATTAATATTTGATAATGCATGTAAGGGTAAATTAAGGATTCTCCTAACGAACTGAAATATATTTACTCACAAATTTTATGTGAAAACATGGCCCTAAGAGATCACCGAACAAGAAGCAAAGGAGAACAGGACAGGAAAGAAGAATATATATATATATATTAACAGCGTTCTATACAGCCCTGTAAGGAAATGGACAGAATTACCAAACAGAGAACATTCTAACCCACTGTGTGTGGCTGTCTGAAAATAAAAAAGAAAAATAACCAAAAATTTACTATAGTGAACCTCATTTCCAGCTCACAGATGACTGTATACTTACTGGGCTGCTATCTTAATATACTTCTTTAACAGCTGAACACGCTTGCTGAGTTGAGAGCAAAGACAAATCTCAGTGACCACCCAGAACTGAATTTCATTAAATCTTCTTAAAAACAAGTCCAGATTTGCTGTGGTCTTCTTAAAATTGTGCCTTCCAAAAGTGTGATAGACTAATTCCAGCTAGGAAAAAGAAAACAGTTTGGAATTTTTTTTTTTTTAGAAATCTCATCTGTTGGACAGAGGAAACAGGCTAAGAATGACCAGGTAAGTATCTAGTCTGAAACTTGCTCTGCAGTTTACGTTTAGTGCTGTACAGATGACAAAGATTCAGGTTGCAAATCCAGTAGACAATAGCTGAGGCATACTAAAAGCATAACCATAGACTATGTATAAATAGATGAATACCTTAAGACCTACAAAGGTAATTTGATAAGCAGCACACATTCAGGAGTTTATTTTTGCATTTTGCCTACAAAATTAAGAATGCCTTATACTTTCAAAACTTGTAGGTGGCTTTATTGCAGTATCTTTGAAAACCAAGCTTAGAGAAAGTTTTGCAAATAATACACAAACCTACAATGTACAACTAAACAGTTTCTAACAAATTCTAATCTGCTGAACAGATAGATCCTCATACCTCATGCACACAGTTGAAGAGCTCCCAGTCATAAATTGTCATCTGATATGCTAAGTCTTTGGAGCTCATCAGTTCGAATGTTCCCACTGTACCTGTAGACGGTCCTTCTTGTTCTGGTAATGGTGCCTACAAATGGAAAAACGGTATAAAAATATTTTAGAAATACTAATTTGCATGACTGGTGCTTTTCTTCTGTAATGTTTCTGATTTTTTTTTCAACGTGACCACTTTCCTAAGCATGTTTCTAACAGTAAAACTGAAATTTGCCTTTAACCAAAGGTTGGCATTAGGAAATGAAAAGCCCTGTGCAAAATTAGTATCCACTATGCACAGGGTAGTCAGGAAAATTCTGAAAGCTCTTCAGAGGCACTGTAAGGAAATAAAACAGACTGTTCTCAGTGTGTTATTTTTAGCATTGTTCTAAAATTTGAAGCCAGATATAAATACTTCAATACACTTCGTGCTAACTAAAGCATGTCTGTTTGTTTAGGAGCATAGGTCTTTCCACAAAGCTTTTGTTATCAGTTTCCTTTTCCACATACACAAATAACTAGGCCACAAAGCACAAGCGAAATACTTTTGCAAGTTACTGATTCTAACGATGAGAATTATTACATCTGCCATACTTCAGAAATCTGCAGTGATTGCAAGATATTCTGATCGTTTATAAAATAAGCCTCATACTTTAACAGTACAGGGTTGCACTATTTCTGACTGCAAAACTCTTGGGTATGCTAATTAAAAATATATGCACACATTTCTTCATATGAGAAAGAATCCTTTAAATCATTCAAGTATAAACATTTTTGAAAGACACTTCCACACCACCCAATAAAAGAGGTGTGATCTACAGTTTTGCACACAAGTAAATCTCATATTAAAGAGAGATTTTAAGCATGGCTTGAGATCAAGTCAGATTTCAAGTAGTCTGCTGTATATATTAGGATCAAAGTGTTTGAACCAGTGCTGCTAAAATACTAACAAACAACCCTCTTGCAAATTCAAATGTGTTACCATCAGCAAAGCTTCCCGTGAACCCACGTTTTAATTGTTTTGTTTCCAGGAGAGGGCAGTAGAGTTCACTTACAAGTTTCTTTCTCCGTTTCTCATAGGGTCTTTGTTAGGTAATTACAGAGAAGGGAATTATCAACAGGCTCCTTTCTGAGTACAAACTCAATAGAGTACGCAAGATTAACAGACCATATTTACATACTGCAATACCAAAAATCATCTTACTAAATGAATCCCCTTTTATATAAGAATATTATGTTACCAATAAAAAAAGGACTGACTGGATTAATGCATGAAATTACTTTCTCAATAACACATGTTTTGCTAGTGTGCAGGTGCACAGGAAGCTGGGAGGGAGCGTGGCCAGGATAGCTGACCCGAACCAGCCCAAGGGATATTCCATACCACAGAATGTCATGCTCAGTATATAAACTGGGAGAGTTGGCCAAGGGGGGTGATCGCTGCTCAGGCATCGGTCAGTGAGCGGTGAGCAATTGCACTGTGCATCACTTGTCTGTCTTGGGTTTTATTTCTCTCTCTTTTTGTTACATTCCTTTTAATTACTATTATTATTATATTTTATTATTATTGTTATTATTAGTTTAGTTATTACACTGTTTTTATCTGAACCCGCAAGTTTTACTTTTTTTCAATTCTCCTCCTCATCCCACTGAGGGCAGGGGGGAGGAGAGAGCGAATGGCTGCATGGTGCTCAGTTGCTGGCTGGGGTTAAACCACAACATTTCTGTATCAGTTCTTGCTTTGTACTCTAGGGAAAATTTGCCTTTCAAATATCATCATAATACAAACTAATTAAAAATTATTAAACAAAACCACAGGCATTATTACCTTAAAAGCTCCATCTACAATTTAAAAAAAATAGTATATATAAGAAAAGTATTATCTAAAAAAAATCAGGACAGCCATCAATCTTATAACAGCCAGTAGATTGCTCTGAATCAGGATTTGCTCAAACACAAAATTTCTTTAGTTTAAGACAGAGTATGAATTAAAATTACAGAAGTTTTGTGTAGAAAATCCTAACTTGTGGAAGTCTGCGGAAAGAGAATTGCCCAGTCTGAAAGAAGGCTTTTTTCCCCTATTTGGAGACAAACACAGCATAGCTGTTACCATAACAAGCACATATTTTCCAAGGCTAGGGAAGAAGCACTTAGACATAAACTCATTGCATATTTGAAAATTCATCTAACCCAGAACAATTTTCACATGAGAATTGTCACGTGTAACATAAATAAACGTACAGGCACAGAGAGCAGCCAGAAATCGAAATGTGAAAGGATTAAAATGTGAGGTAGGTAAGGTTGTAACGTTATTTAATTTGTTTATACCTCTTTGAAAAAATGCAGCCGATAAGGGGATGTATTCTGTTATGCAGTGCTGAGAACCTTTTTAAAGGTGCTCAGTGTTGCTCCCTAATTCCTACTGAAGTCAGTCCAGTTGATGGAAACAAGCATATTGCAGCCCTGTATCTTAGAGCTCCCTGTAGCATTTTGAATACTTGATCCACGGTAAATAGCACAGGGGAAAAGGCACAAAGTCATGAAAATTCGCTGCCAAAGCTGTGTCTACACAGACAATGCAGAGCCATATAAAAGTACCCAGCACAGTTGTACTGACGCAACACCCCTGCTTTAGAGTAGCATGCCCCATGAGAGTATCTACTTGGCAGGATTAATTAACCTTAAGAAAACACCAGAATTTAATAAACTGAACAAGAGGTGTCTCTGCATGGAACTACAGTATGCTGGATGTGCATTCCCTTGTTACTAAATTGAAAGCAGCAGCAAAGCACAGATTTTACCATATCTATAAAAGAAATCAGGCATACATACTAAGTGGCTTGTTAAAAGCACACAGAAGGCTGAAACAAGGCTAGGAGTAATAGAGTTCATGCTGACATGACTTGGCAATGACATTTGTTTTTAGTGAAATAAAAGGAACAAAAAGTACAGTCAAATCAAAAACTCTATAAAAGCAGACCCCATGGAGATAGTTAGAATTACTGTATAAAATGTAAGTACTTATGAACAACCCTACTTAAGAAAAACCAGACTTTTTACCAGGAACATTTTCTGTGATTCTACTTAGAATCATCTGAGATTTTGACACAGTATTTTGTGGGGCTCAGGAATGAAAGATTTTAAGGCATTTACTGTTGGAATCAAGTCTCCAGAATGCTTTAATTGGTAACATCTATCTTCAAGAATATATCCCTGTGGCCTTGAGCAGGTAATTCTGTAATCGGGAATTACTGCCTGTCTTAGTGACAATATTCAGCTCTTCCTACATGCTCAGTGTGACACAGAAAATACTGGAATCAAGCACTGTCATGTGGATCAGATGCATTTCTGCTCTAGTTTAGGAAATGATAAAATTACCTTGTTTTAATTTCAGGGCTCATGCCATAGCACTGTGACAAGCCCTTTGTTGTGAACGTTTCTACTAGTTTCTACCTAAAGCACTGATAACGCAAAAATGGGCCAAGTGTTCAAATAAACTGAAGAATCAAACTTTCTGAGAACTGCATACATACATACCAATGAATCAAACTGATCACGTGGGCAAGCAAACAGTCGTCCATTAACACTGAGAGTCGTAAACACTGAAACATCATGAGGTTTGAGCACAACCTTTTCTGTAAACATGAAACAAATGATTGTTTATTATATATATGTAGAATTTACAGCAGGACTCATCCAACAGCTGCTCAGATCACCCTTCTGGAAACAAATTTTGCACAGTAAACCAGAGTCCAGGGTACAAAACAGACAACAAGGTCCTCTTTATTGAGGACAGCAAGCTCAGCCCAAACCAGCCTCCTACAGAACTGGCATACAGAACTAGAATTCCAGCCCCAAACTGTACAGACAGGTCAAGAAGCCTGTGCTGCCATCTCTAGAAACTACCTGCAAAAATTCAGCCATAATTAGGGACTCCATTCATTCTTCTCTGAGCTGTAAGCATTTGGAGAGCTGTTCTTAATAGAAATTGCTTTGGAAAACAATAACTGCATAAGAAGGTGATGAAATGCAACTGTATTCAAATCTCATTACAGCAGTTCTAAAAGAACATCACATCACAGGTAAAGAAAAGATAATGAAGTAATTTGCAAAACAGTCTCTTCCAGCATGTGCTGGCTGTCAGCAAATCTGACAATAAAAAATTGCTGCAGCTGCAAAAAGTAGAGCTGCCTGGTGTCAGTTCTCAGGTACTGAGCTGTTTTTGGCAGGCATCACTGTTGCAAAAATGCCTTCCAATACAGCTCTCATTAGCTCTGTGTGTGTCCACACAGTCATACTCAACCAGAGCACTTCAGCATCTCCAGTTCTCCAGCAGAATTCACCTTGCAGTTACTCCCATTTCCACAGCCTACACTGAGGGGCTGGCTCCTGACCCTCTGTGAACACTAGGTCAGTGTGCTTGGCAAGAAGTTACTCAGTAGTGGTTTGCATGGACAGAGCAGCCAGAACGGTAGTGACCACTACTGGAATGTTTGCACTGCAGTGTTTTTTGCTGTTGCCGATTCATATGTCTAGCCTGTCACGATCCATGCTTACCTCCCATTTCTGTTGTTAAAAACCTCTTACAAGTCTTTCAGTGAAGGAAACTTGGGGTAGCTCTGCTCTGTAACATGCAGAGCAATACATACACAAGCTTCTCCGTTTTTCCTGTCTACCACGTGAGCTCCAGTCTATGCCTGCAGTAGAGAAAGGACTTGCCTCTACAACAGAACCTGTGTACCAGCCAAACATGCACATGGATATAAAAGCCTTGACTGAATTAGTCTTTCAATCCCTCATGACATTCTGCTTCACCATAAGTAAGAAGTGTTTAAGATGATGCAAGTACAGTACCTCCTCCTGAACTCATCTTTACTATGATGAGGCCTTCTCCAGAACCCAGCTTATCTGCTACTGCGCTGATCACTTCCTTCACAGAGGAAGACACTGGCACCCGGATAGTGGTATAGGTTTGGTCTATGCAGTACACCTTAAACAGAACTAAAGAAAAAAAGATTGCACTGTGTATCCTACATGTAACAACCACAGAGACTTTACCGTATAAATTAATTTTGCTTCAGTAACCACTCCTCACAAATGTAACAAATAAAGAAACAATAAATCACTACAGTTTTGATAGCTCCTCATTCCTCAGATGTTCTGTAATTTCTAGTATAGAAATATCCGATTTCCCAGAGCTTTGAGTAAACCATGAAGTACTAGTGTTTCATTATTGCTACATTATTAATGGATGCCAATTTAATCTGCCACTTTGTTATGTTCCAGACATTATAATATTTTAAATCAACACTTCTTTTCAAGAGTCAGGAAAGCTGGCTGCAAACTCTCTTAATTACAGGAAAATAATTTTCATATTTACAAAAACAGATTTGAAAATAGTTTTGGTTACAATCAGAACTTAAATCAAACTGTGTTGCAACCTGTTTTTTACAAGCAAGTATATAATTGCTGAATCAAGAATGTTGTAGACAACCAAGAAAAACACCCTAACAGTAAGAATACACTTGAGTGTACAGTACAACTTGGCTCACAGAACAATACATGAACCCAGGCCTCTGGCTGCCTAGAAATCAATATGATAGTACATTAGCCTGCAAAGAGCAAGGCAGCCCAAAGCGACATGAATTTAAGACAGAAGGAGTTAGCAAAATACTCCTTCAGCTTAGCTGTCAAGCCAAGCCAAGCCAGGTAGCCCCTGGGGTTACAGCTGTCCATGGAATTTCAATGTTCATGTGCTGCCTGCCCTACGAATGAGAAAGGTGCAGCCAGATAAAAGGGGCAGTTAATGCCTGTCCACACAGACACCAGAAGTAGTACTTCCCTGGCAGCAGCAACTGTTTCGCTCTTTGTAGACCTAGAAGAAACACTGACATGAACAACAGAACCTGCATGCCTGGCAGGATGTCTGCTGTTTATACACAGTTACTTCCAGCTTTTGAAAGGGCTCTTCCATTGGTTTGATTTATGCCATCAGCTTTCTCAGCTATATGACCTTGCATTTTGTTCCCTTATTTTTACTGTCGATCACAAGCAAGAGCTATCCTTTAATATCAAACACCTTGAAGCAGAAGCTATTTTCTGTGATGAAGATGCTCCAAAACAATCATTGAGACACTGGCCCTAGCCGTTGCAAAGAAATCCTCAGATTTATGAGTTTTAAGAAGCACATATCTTTGTTTACAATGAACAGATCTCATCAGCAGAGCTCAGGATTTTGTTCACATAGCAGTGGTTTAACCTGCCTGAAGTAAGGACAGTATGAAAAGCCAGTACAACTCAAAATGATATTCTGATACACTGCTCTAAATTTTACCTTAATCTCTTCAGAGAATCAAACAATAGCAATAGGACAAACCAGCAGGTCTGGTTTTTTAGGCTCTGTGTCACAGGGCAGAGATCCATGGCACGATTATCTGTTCCATTCCTATCTTGCAAAAGAACAGCTGTACATGTTAGCTCAAACTGCATAGGGGAGACAGAGGTTCAAACAGGGCCTTCAGTACCCACTATTTATTGCACTGCCATTACCTGCATGGACATTGTCTGTACTGATACTTATCTGTTTTATACATTCCCTATTTTAAAGGGGTTTACATCTTTCTCTGAGGATGCACAGTGTTTGATAGCACAAGTAACTAAGGGAAAAGACCAGAAGCACTTCAAATCAATGACAGAGAATTTTGGGCTAGCGAAAGCAGTTTGCTTCAGGCTAGGCTTCAAAAGTGTAGGCAGGTACTTCCGTTTATTTTTAGACCATTTTTTTTGAGACAGAAAATTATTGCAAATCTCAGTGGCTCAAGAAAACTTAGCAGAGAAGGAACTCACCTTCGTCGCTGCCCCTGATAGGCTGGCGCTTCTGTGCTCTGTCATCACTTGTGTTGAACAGCTGCAGAAGAACTTTGTGCTGAAAATGAATCAGGATTCACATTAATGCAAAAGGACATATTGCGGGGTAAACATGAACGATAATAGATCTCTTATCAATGGCAGGAAAAATAGCAACGCAAAATTTGACACTTAATGTTAAAAGCTATTTCTCAATGTGTTGGTTTAATATATCCAGGATTACTAAATAGAAGATGCTTATGGATTTGCTGTGCTATAGCTTTTACTATAGAAAATGGACAAATAAATTATCTTACCTTCTTTTGTGGTGCTTTAGGTTCTTCAGAACTATAAGAAAGTAAAGCATAAAATATATAATTAAGTATTACCTGGAAAATTTTGTGTACAAAATCACCTATAGAACATGGACCACTTGTCAGACTACAATATTAACATATTCATGTTTGCATATATGAAAAGACTAGATGATACTATAGTTAATCCATGAGCAAGGAAGCGAAAATACCATACAAAGTCCATGTAAACATGAAATAAGCATCCAGTTTCAATGGTGTGTACACAATTTCTTATTCCTTCTGTCAACTTTTTAATGAGAGTTTGGTGCTTGCAAGGATGATATGGAAAAAGAGGGCCACAGACATTCATCCAAACAAGCTTGCACGCAAATACTCAGTCTTGTATGACTGAGTGTCATTCATAGAATGGATTTTTAATACAGATAAGCAATAAATTTTCTTCATCTATTTACCGAGAAAAAGGGTGGGGGGAGGAAAGAAGCAAAAACTCTGCTTACACTTGCTTTACAATTTTCTCTAGCTCTGGAAGTTGCTCCTTTAGTGCTGCAATCATTCTAGTATCATCTGATACAGATACATAAAATTCCTGCAAATGACACAGAATAGTCTTTAAATAACTATAGGGGTAAATGAACAGTACTCAGGATAGAGGATTATAAAATGACATCTGATAGCTTAATGATTATAAAGAATGATAATCTGCATAGAAGAACACATGCTGGGCCCAACCCTCTATTACTTCTACTTGTTTATCTCCAGCTGATTTAAAGCAAGAGTTACACATGCAGAAAGGAAGCCTGATAAGGCTCCTTAGCTCACTGTGTAACCACCAACTGCTTGTGCAAAAACTGCATTTTCAGATTATCAAAGATAAAGACTATAAAATTCACAAATAATCTGGCATGATAAGGTTTTTTTTACCCACTGCTGTTGTAGTCCTTAGTGGTTCATTTGCTACTGAGTTGTTGACTCTCAGCTACTCCAGCCTGCTACAGTATTACCCTCTTTTAAAGCCTACTCAGACCCCTTCCTGCCACACATACATAAAACTGACCCAAAAAAGGATCTATGTGCTGGCAAACAGTAATCGTTCTTTAACTTCTGGTCTAATAAAAGACATTATGTCTGTCTATTATGAAAGCTTGTCTATTATGAAAAGCTTTCCCAACTGGGTTTGCTACATGTCTGTCATACTTAAGGCCCCTCTCTATACCCCTCTGCTAACTCTTAATCTTAGATTCAGTTTTAAGAACTTCTATTCAGCCAGCAACATATGGGATTGTGTTCCATAAACACAGTACATAATAATAATGGCAATCACAATGACTTAACACTGGTAGTGCATCTTAGCTTAGAAATATAAGGATATAGCACTTACCACAAAGACCTTACAACCAGTGTCTGAGGAATTAAATTCTTTTAAGGGATCAGACGGGTTCTGAAGACAAAGATTTTAAGTTTCAATAGCTGCAGTACAGCTTTCATTCAAATGGAAAGGATTTTTGGTTTTGTAGAGCGAGAACCCTCAAGCTCCTTCCTGGCACACCTCAGGCTCAACCTGTAGAGCCTCTCAACTATTCAAAAGAAAAAGCAAATTCATTTATTGCTACGAAGCAATCTACCCATGCAGTGCTTTGAAAGGGGTCTGCAGCTCTGGCAGATATTTTCAGAGGTCCAGAGGATGATAATGCTTCAAGCACTGTTGTAGTGTGTATACTGCAGCTAAAAGTGAGAAAACAGAGTCATGAGTTTGCCCTTTGAAATTACCTACTTCTCTTTAGTTCATAACAGAGTTCTACAGACTAGGAACAGGCTTTCAGCTTATCTTGCTTGGTAGGTACTTTTCACTACAATGATAGAACAATCCCTTTATACCTCCAAAAAGGCCATTGCTGCTTCATCTTCTTGTAGTAAATCTCCATACAAAGCAGCCCACTGCAGAATCAGTCGAATGACTCGTCTTTTATTGTTGAGGGCATAATCCATTTTCTCCTGCTCTGTACCCTGGGAAGGCTGGGCATGATAGGTGCCATGATGTCAAGGAAAACACTCAGTGATTGAAAATATCAAAACCAGTATGAATTCACAAACAACTGACTTCCAACAAACCATTTTCACAGTGTTCAGCATAACTTTCCAATATATACTTTTGAATTCTGACTGCTGCTAGCATAAAGACTTGTGCACCTTTCACGTTCATACTAAAAAGTAAAAGGACAGTGAATTCTCTAAAGCACACAGGAATGATCACAATCCCACCACGGACGTGGTTGCTGTAGGGGAGCAGAACAGAAATGACACTTGGAACAACAGAGAAGAGGATTAACCATGGAGACTGAAGAAAGATATTTCTCCTTGTTCTTCTTTGGAGACAGCTGAAGAAAAAGAAAAATGTCACTTTGTGTTTATTAACAATTCCAGTCTTCTGTTTGTGAGAAAGACTACTGGTATGAACCTCCAGTGTTATGGCTTTTCTTTTTAGAAATTACTGTAACCCAAGGTGAACCTCAGTCCCATTATAGTAGGAGACCCTGGAAGTTCACAGCCTAGTCTGACTATAGAGACATGGGGTAAAAAATCCTGTAGTAGTCTCATTTTACATATGAGGAAATCAGAAGTTTTCACTCTATCACTGGGGACACAATACTTTGTGATAATTCTTTTGTGATAAACAATAAGAAAAAATGAGAAACATTTCATTGACACTTTTCGTGATGAAGTGTCAACATTACAAAAATATGAAAATAGCAAAAAGGCCAAACGTAACATTTATTGAAAGGAAGAAACCAAGAAAAAAGTAAAGGCACAATGGGCAATAACCTGAGATAATTTCAGCCTTTAACCTTAAAAATGAAGACGAATCCCCAGCAGAAACAGGATATGACAATTTGTGTGCCTACTTCCTACTGATCAGACGTTAACGAGATATATTGAAACTGTTTCCCAATAAACTGATGGCTGAATGTGAAGTAAGCACAGAACGAGTGCAGTTACATCTTCAACTTTTCTTCCTGGATACCACAATTCTGATTCTGGATTGTCATGAATAACACTATTCCCAATTATATAGCAACATTTTACATTAAAATACTTGTTCACTCATAGCAAAGTCCAGCATCCTTTCAAGGTGCACTTTCAGCTGCTCTAACAAAAGATTTAAAGTTATTAATTAGAAAATTAAAATATTAATTAGAACTCGAAATTATCTTAGATATTTATTTTAGGCTTCTTATTTAGAAGCATTTCTCTAACAAATACTAATAAAATATAATGGGAAAAAGTATCTATTAGCTCACATTTTCCAAATGATCCTCCTGCCCAAAACCCCTGCAGAGATTTGACATGCTACCAGGGTTATCGGGGTACTCAGTTGACTGACAAACTTTTAGAAATCTGCATTTCATTAGGAAAGGTTTAAAATGACTAGAGAACTAAACAGGTCAGTGCATTTCTGGGAGTAAATAAGTCAAAGGGTCATAAGAAGTAAATAACACATTGTAAGCTACGTGCTCTAATATCTCAGGGAGCAAGTTTAATATTCTACTGAGTAATTTTTCTCATGCCATTTTTACCTTTCAAACACTGTAATTATTTAATGTATTTTTACTTTCTTATTAACTGACTCACCACAGGCACTGGTAATTTTTCTGTATTTTTACTGCTTATTTATATTAATTGCTCCTTTATTAACATTTTCACAGGGCAAGTCAATGAAGGGTTCTCCCACTTTTATGGGACCTACAGGATGCAGCTTCACTGCAGACTGCAATCAGAAGCAAAGTACCATGTATACCTGCAACAAGCATCAGATAATTGTAAAATATTTATCAACACCAACATAGTTAATGTTCAATATATATATATATATTTCTAATTATGTCTAGCATATGCTAGGAAAGGGAAGCAATTCTGAAGTCTGTTCTTCCCTGCACAGGAACACTTAACCATATCAGGAGCTGCTCAAAATCAGCACCCATTACTACAGTAGAATGCAAACTATTTTGCTGGCATGATGGTAAAGGAGGTTCACTAAACATTCATACCTAAACATGCTGAAGGACTATCATCTACAGAGAGCAAAAGAGGAGTTTATACCTCAAAAGTATCTAGATAGTGTTCCTTTAAAGATGCACACCTGCACGTATGCTCACAAGCTTGCACTATCCCAACTACACTTCTGGTGGTGCTACTCTATTTCAAGTTTCCTTTTGGGCTTTGTCCTGCCTCCTTCTGACAAAGTGTAGCTCTGAGAACTTGTCCATTTCCATCTCTGCGAAGAAGAGAGGGAAACAGGGGCCTTGGTCCAACACACAGGACTGATGTCCTGATCCAGGACAGAGGACCATGCCCTTTGCTTCCCTATTTAAAAAAAAAAAAAAAGAAAAGGTATGTGATTTAAAAAAAATATTTAATATACTTTAATGACTAAAAACGAGTGGTGTGCCAAGGGGCAGAACAGTATTCGCACTGAATCTGTAGCAAGCAATAATGTTACTTAGCCAAAAAGGTGCATCTGTCCATTCCTTTCAGGATTAAAGCACTTAAAGACGACGAAATGCTGCTGTAAAAGAAGTGAAAATCCAAACAAGTTATACCCTGTACTATGCTTGAAAGCACTACAGTGGTCTAGCTCTACTCACACTTGCATGTTGCCAGCTAAAATAGCATCCTAAGTGGGTGTAGGAAAATAGACTTGTATTGATTCAAAATTGGAAGCTGGAGCAAAAGCTGTGTCTTGAACTGAATCACCTTTTTTCTTTTTCTGTTTTAATTCCCTCACTGAGCATAACTAATCTCTCCTTAGTCTCACAGCACCGGTAAACATTTTTGTAGAGTAATTTGCTCAAAAAAGATGAGCTTTGTTAGCAACCTTTCAACTCGAACAATAAATTTCAATGGTACAATCAACAGAGCAGTTTGATTTTCCATATTCAGAATGGACCAAATAAACAATAATTCAGCTCTAGGAAAAGCTGACACTAAAGCAGTGGGATACCAGTTCCTTCCAGCCCTCCTCCTCCTCCTCTTTGAAAAGAATTAGCATGATGCCTGCCATGACCCACTTAAGACCATGGTCTTGGCCTTCTCTCCAGAACAGATTTCATTACAAGTGAGTATGTTTACGTAAGTGACACTCTGATCTTCGGAAAAGGTTCTCCCCTACAAACAATGAGGTACATGTTGCTTATGCACCTGATTTTCCCAGTTATTGGATATCGGAGGTACACTATTATAACTAAAGACAGACAAGCCTGAGTCTCAAATGGACTGATTGAATAATATGAGCTAGATAAATCAGAAAAAAACACATAAAAAGTGTTGCCCTTTTCCTCCCCTCTCAAAGCTGTCAGCAACAACATTCCATAATACTTTAGATATCCAAAACTATGTGGTTTTGGAAAATGTGTTTGTTTCAGGTGTACGAACAATTTTCTGCAGACCAGTTTTATGGGTCCAAAGGTTTTCAAAACAATTACTGTCCTTGCTAGAAGGACACAAATTGATTCTCAAGCTTGCCAGACAAGTACACGATGCTCTATTTTGTGGTTTCAGGGTGTTAGCTTTCCCAGATGTCACTCACTCTGCTGAGCTTCAAGGAAAGCACACTTTCACATCAATCTGATTCTAAAAATATAAATAGGGAATTGAAGTTATTATATCCCTGTCAGAATTCTATAAACCAGAAAACATTATATGTTTATTTAATGCTCCCAGTTACCTGATAGCTTCAGGTTACCGTGCACACGGAAAACTCTCAGTGCCCAACAGCTCCCCAAACTAAATGACCTGCCAGTAACTGACTGATGGGACATTTCACATACTCCTTCTGTAAAACACATAGACAGTATGAGAATGACCTCCAGCTCTCAATGCTATCCACTGTAATCCAATGCTATCTCCTAGGTATGCGCATGCAACTGAAGTTTCTTGCATTTTGTTAACATTTGCTATAGACTATTATTATTATTATTTTTATTCATAACTATTATGACAGCACCTAGGAACCATTTACTCATTATTCTACTAGCTTAGGCACCCTTTTGCTTGAAGCAGTTTGCACCTTGTAATCTATAAAGTGGACCGCTGAAATCACCAAAATATAATGATCCTAGTTAAAATCTAGATGCTGTAGTTCAGCAAAAAACAAGACAGACAGAAAGGATACAGGAAAGGTAATCCAAACTTTTATGTAATTTCACTTATCTGATGAAGGGATAGTACATTTCTTTCCCTTGGAATAGTAATCAGCACAGGAAAGATACAGTTTTCATGCTCCAGGACTGTATCTCATCATGGGTACACATTATCAATTTCAGAGTTGTTGAGCTATGGACACTGAGAACCTACACATACGGCACAGCCTCAATGAAATGTGATGTACTTCCTGAAAGAGAGAAGCTTCAGTCTCATCAGCGACAGGGATAGCTGTTAAAGTGATGTAACTTTTCCCTTACAAAAAGGATATTGTGCCATCAAGGCTGGGCAGAGCTGACTATTTGGCATAAAAACACAGTGCATCATAATAAAATCATTTAAAACAGAATCTGTGGAAAGAGAAGAAAGAAAACAGTCAATTAAGCCCTGCAAGGAGCTTAGGGATCAAAAGGATGAGTTCTCTTTCAGCTAAAATATTTTATTAGCCCTCTGCAGATAATAAAGGGGTCTTTTTGCACTTTGTTTGTAGGCATTAAGTATGAAAATGGGAAATGAACAAATATGAGCTGAAATGTCAAGCTTTTATTATTGTCTGTATGAATTTTATTGCACTTAACATGCATTTGCCTGCATCAAAGGGAAATTTGGCACAACAAAAAAACCCCCTCTGTTGTAAAGTGAAATATTCGGATATACTTCTCTACAAGTGTAGAGATCTTAGCATAAGAAGAATCAGGCCTGTCACACCACTAAGAAGTGCTGCTGCTGCATTTGGCTTTAGGGAACTACAATACCAGACAGCACATTTAGTATATACTACATAGGAGAAGGCAAATAATTAAGTCTCTGCTGATTTCCTAGCAATGAGCAGAAGGCCTAAAAGAGGTAAATGGATAGTTAAATTTCTTGTTTTATTTTGATCCAAAAGTATCACAGCTGCTACATTTACATTAAAATGTATATGAACAGTATGACTGACATTTTATCTGGATAAAAAATAGCAAGATGTTTTTTCTGTTAAAGTGATCTCTGGTAGCACTGGTGTAAAACCCAGTTTGCCTTACCTTTGTATTTGTGACAAGAAGGATTTATAAAGCCTGGCTGCAGAGGCCAGAATAAGTTTGACAGTGAGAACAAACTTTATTTTAAACTATACAAGTCTTATATGGAATCACTGAGAAAGAATAAACACAATACAATGGGGTGTCACTTCTACAGTGCAACTTTTGAGATAACAGAAACATTTAAAAACCCTGTAAGTAAGGGATGTCAGAAAAAATATGGTGAGGTAACTGAGTAATGTAATATTACAACATTGCTTCTACTGTAATTCATATATGAAAAGATCTCTCAGATGACAAAACTCACCTCAGGAAGGGGGGGGGGGGCTTTTTCTTTGCCTAATATCCAGAGCAAAATGGATTTTAACTGTTCATAAATTAAAGGAATGCGTAAACTGAAAATTTTGTTTTCCAGCGCTCTGAACTTCCATATCCTAAAAAAATCTTTGTTTGTGAACTGTGACATTTTGTATCCCCTTAGGATATAGGTATAATCTTGCCAATGTTTTGGGGAAAAGTTTCAAAAGATCTAAAAAATAATTAATTTTAGAAAAATGTGTAATACCTGCATACTATGAATAGTAAGCTTGTAATTACATACTTACAAGCTTAAAGAACAATATTCTGCTTGTAATCCTAGTAAACAGGTATCTATGAAAAGGATCATATTTACTCTTAAAAGTGGTTAAAACACACATTATAAAAGGACTTCTGTAATCTTTCAATTCTTCCACCATTTATGGACCACTATTCAGGTTTCTCCAATACTATGAGGTCAGTAACAGATTAACTGGATTTAAGAACACCTTTGAACATATGCTTCTTAGACATCTGCAATATAAAAAGAACTTGCTAAAGCAATATTGTGTAGCTTACTATAAAAGTCCCTGCATTATTTTATCATAATTAGGAGGAATCTTGTGCCTGACTCTTTTTCAAAATTAAATTACTTACTAATGGTAACCCAGCAAATACCTATATCCCCAGATGTAAAATCTCTGTTCTCTTCATGATAACAAAAAGCAGCCTATTAAGTGCAGCTGCAGCAACCTGCATTCTTGGGACTTGGCCCATGGTGTGCTGAGTTCTTATCTTTTGAGCAACAATTCTTCTTTCCCTGCACATGGGAAAGTATTACAAACAAGTAATTTAAATTGTGATACATTAACTGTGATATGGATATGAGAATTTTTGAATACTTATACTAGCATAATGCAATGGCTGGAGGTATCAAGCGACATCCAGAACAAGAAGTATGAGTACTATTATCATCGGGTGGAAATGCATGCTTTGTCCTGGTGTTATAGTTGTGCCTAATTAAAGTCATGACTAGTGGTCTGGCACCTTTTGAGATTTTGCTGTTCTACTCTGAACCGAAAGTACAAATACAATAGAGCAGGCTAGGAGGAATGGATTGTTATCTTTCATTCTGGATTTCCTAGGTTTTCCTGGGGTTGTTTCTGAGCAGCGGATAGTTCTTATTCTAGGAAAAACTACCACTAGCTGCTTTTCAAAGCATCACATTGCGGTGCTGCAGTAATAATAACACAGCCTTTGTCATGCAGATACCTGTTGCTTCATTTAAAGTTGCTTCAAGGCGCATAGTTTCTAGAAAGTGCTCTAAAATTTTCTCTGGGGTTCCTGACATCACAATATACCTGAGGGAGGGAAGGAAAGGAGCAGTTAGTGTCTCATAGGCAAAACAGCTAATGAAGAAACAGTACCAGTCACAAGAGCAGGACTGACGAGTGCCAGAGCACAAATACCTGCTCTGACCACTTAGGACAAACCACTCACAATCTTTGTTGGCTTCCCCGCTGTAAAAGGGGAGCAATAACACCCTCCACCTTACCCAGGGAATGTGAGATGACAGACAGCCCCCTCCCTGCACAAGTGCTGCAGTATAAATACCACAGCTATACTGCCATCAGCAGAGCTGCACTGATGCAAACATGTAGAAGTGCATCAGAAATGCTTCTCCACTGAGAATAAATATCTCAGTAACGATAGCAACTCGCAGTCATTAGAGGGTCTTAACAGACTTACTACGAGCATGAAATGAGAACCGGTGTGTATCAGTGTCAGAGCAAGGAAACAATTTCCTTCATCATCACTGACGGGTTGGTCTGAGAAGACTGGGGCAGACAATGAAACAGCACATCGTACCTTCAAATTTGTGCAACACCTTAGATAGCTGAAGTTAAGTTTTTAAAGTGGATAAACTTAGGATTGTACCATTTCCTGGAGTAAATTTAGGGAGGTGAACTAGTGCAATAGTCAGGTTTTCTTGCTTTATGCAAAAACACTGGCAAGATTTTAAATACCAGCAGAATATCATAGGATATTGCTGAACTTGTCCTGTCGTCTTTTTTTTTTCTTTCCTTGCAGATCGGATTTTTTTATCTTTCCCTCCATTCTTTCAATCTTTGCATCTTTTTTTTTCTTTTTTTGAATCCAACTGATAAAGTATGAAACTTTAAAAAAAAAAAGAAAAAAAAAAAGAAAGAAAAAACCCCGAGAAGTGAAGATACTCTGCTCCTGCTGAGAAATAAGTGGTGGAGCTGAGCTCCTGGGAGCTCCTCCTCACTTTGAGCGCTGACCGTCACAGTTCTTTTACCTGCCAACCCCTTTGGAAGAACTGTATTGATGTCCCAAGAACACAAACACTTGTTAAGCCAGTGCACGTTCTCGCAGAGATACTAACCAAGTATCTAAGTGAGTGAAGCAGAGAAATCACAGGTTGCTGTACTCTGAATATGAAAGTGAAAATGAACAGTGAAGTGACTTGCAGGGCTGCTGAATTCATCCTGCATGAGTGTGATCACCCATAAAGAGTTAGATCTTGGGAGTGAGAACTTCAGAGCTAGTCCTTCGGAGCAAAACTGTCACTATTTGAAAGCATGGCTCTGGGAGCTATGTGGGAGCTATGCCTCCTCAGTAGAGAAGGCAGTAGAATCCAAACTGCAACTGAAAGCATCTGCTCACAAAGTGAAGTTTTCTCCAAGACTACGATGAAGAAAATGTTTCTTGGTTGACTAGCTATCTCGGGAACAGCTTTGGGATGCAGAACATTTGTCTAGTGCAAATGCTACATACCTGCTTAGGGAGCAAATCCTGAAGGGCAGCTCATCTGAAGAGACATCAGAGATGTAAGCTACCCAATTAAGGGCAAAGCAGCAAGCCTTTAAGAAGAGGTCCCTGTTAAGCTTCTCTTTTGGGCACAGTGATTTTCAAAAGTACTGAACACTCAACTAACACATTCTGGAAATCAGAATACATCAGTAACTTTGATTTGGACTCTCAAGCACAAATGTGCAACTTAAGTGTATTTACTAACAAAAAAAAAAAAAAAAGAAATGTCATATTCAAAACCAGTGAACTCTATTAGAAAGATTTTAAACATAAAGACACTGCCAACGCACTATTAACAAAGTAATCTGACTGCTGAAAAGCAGACTGAACTTTCAAGGTAGCTTCCTCTTTTGTGTAGCTTATGCCTATTTGTCACCATTATCAGCAAAAGTTCCCTTGCTGGCATGTTGAAAATGCCCAAAGCTGACCAAACACATAAAATATTTACAGAAATGAAATTCTTAGCTTTACCTGAAAATATTCCTGGTATGTAAGCTCTAAAATACAGCTTAACTTAACCAGGGATCATAAATGTCTTTAGCTGTTTTTAACGAAATCCTGAACAAGAAAATGTTAAATAATACAAATAATGCTGGTACAAAGAGTTTGCAAGAAAGGTAGTGTTTGAAACTTTCACTTTTGAAAGCATGAAAAATATATCAGACCCAAGAAAATCATAGAATACCAAGCTGGAAGGGACCCCAAGGATCATCTGGTCCAACCAATGGATTTAAATCTATGATCAAGTTGCTGTGCATTGCAGCTTCTGATGCAAATCCATGGGCTGCAGTCAAGTCCCCCTCATTTAGACAAAGAAAAATTTGTTGCTAGAGTACATGTTTTCCTGGTAGCATAGTTTGTTTTTTCCTAATAGATCAAGTGAAAGATGAAATGGCAGTTTCTGAACTATGTGAAATGTGTATATAAAATGCAAGGAATGGTTTATTCAACCCTTCACAGATCTTTACAAACTTTATATTCAGTTATGCAGATAAAACAGATATATGAAATCCCAGATCAGATAAAAACTGTACCCCAAATATCTCACAGTAAATTAGCTCGCTCTTTGAGAAAAAGTAAGGTCCAGGGTAAAGCATTCAAAACTTCATGCTGCTTATTTTGTTGGAGCTGTTCAATCGTTTCTGAAGAAAATTGTGCATCCATTTGCAAATAACACATTTACAAAGCCTTTAGGGGTTTTACCAACATTTGGAATGATAATAGCCTCACTCTACTCTTATCACAGTAGTATCCAAACAGAATTGTACTTCTTCCTTTTCAGTAAGGAAGTAAAGAAAATATAATGAATATTGTTATTACAGTGCAAACCTATTCTGTAAGATAAGCTGTGCAACTTTCATTGCATGAGATCTTCATTTTGTATATAAATTGTACCTAGCAAACTCTTATTAGAATCCAGAGCTCAAAAGCCAAAATGAAAATATCTGTACTTAACAATAAAACAATGTATTTTCCTCACGTCTTTTACACAGTAGCTCAGCTTAATAGGGTTTCAGCATTCTCCATGTGCAGTCTATTTAGAAGCTATTACATGAGATAAGTATTTACAGTGAGATCTTTAGAGAATTATTGTGTAAAGACATAGAACTGGTGTGCTGCTGGAAATGGATATATTATACAGTATGGGGCATGTGATCAGCTGATGATTAAAAAAAAGAAAACTTTATATGCACTGCATTCTTCCACAGAAAGGGGGAATATGCTATAGTTTGGATAATAATGCCATATGAAAAGGTTAATCATTGTCTGACATTTGCACTATTGAATGAAAACATACTTGTGCTGAGGCTGTGAATTTCCTTGATTAGAAACTCTGTTTCCTGCTGGGATCTTCTCCAACACCAACACATCTTGGTCATGTTCTTTGAGTCTCACTGTATTTGCTTCCACATCCTGCAAGACAAGTTACTTTTAATAAAGTAATTGCACCCGATTTGGCTGATCAGTTACTCTGAAAAAGTGCATGATCTTCAAACACAAAAGACTGGTGTTGGTTCTTTTCCCCTGTATTTACCTATCTTTATTCTGTTTTTCTTACAGGCAGAATCAAGAGGAAAGCACTGGCACTGGGGGAAGAGGCAGAGAATTGTGGGAGGGACTAAAGCAAGAACAATGTGAAAAATCTCTGGCTGTGGCAAAGGAAAAAAAGTTTGCAAAAAACTAGAGCATTCCCTCAACCTTTCCATATGTAATGTAATCTCTATCCCCACTGATATATGAACATTACTATCTATAATCTGACTTTTCTCTTTTTTTTTTTTTTTTAAAAAAAAAAAAGAAAATGGCACTTAAAAATGGCAAGTCTTAGCTCAGTACACTTTCAGTAAATTTTTAATTTTCTACTACCAGATCACAGTAGAAAAAGAAAAAAGGAAGAATTGAATATAACATGCATTCCAATAGCAAAGATGAAAATCAGTAAGAATATGGACTTGGATCTTTGAAGTATTGGCCAAAGCTAAATCAGTCGGGAGCTCCACAGAAAACACAACCTTACTGCCAATGGGATCCTCATTCCCTTTTGTACAGTAAACACAATCTTATGTCATTTTTCTGGCACAGTACTCTGGACCGGTTTTATTGACGCAATACTGGGCATGTATACATTTGAATACAGGATGATACTGGTTTTGGCTTCCTATACTACAAATGATTGCAAAACAGTCTGTATTTACAGAATCACAGCTGGACTTTGGAACACATTTGCCCTAACGTGAATAACTGCAAAATTAGCCTGGGAGTACCTTTTTAGGGCTCTCTGATAAAGACACCTGCGTAGTTACCTGTACCTTATTTAATTTGCCACTTGCTTCTGCCTTGAATCTATTGAGTTTAAGGTACCTGACATCGACCTATCTGGGAGAATGGGTGTTCTTGTTTTATTCAATATTTGGATGGAATATCACCCAGAAATCCTGAACAGCATAAGGAAACACTGAGCACTTGGCAAATTCTAGACCACAGAAATGTGACAGAAAAAGATGCCATTTGGTCCCATTCTCACAGCTAGGTTGGGAACAGAAAAAGAGGAAAGATGATGAATACATTCTTTACTTGATATTCCAAACTGTCACATCTCTGTTCTGCAATTAGGGACACTTCAAACAAGTGTCAATATCAATATAGCTATAGAAATAAGGCAGACTCTAGAAAAATTTGCAAATTCTGATATCACACCGTTGGTGTGGCCCTTCTCACTCTTACCCTAAGGATCCTGTTGAAGTCCTCCTTGTCTACTCTCAAGAAGTGGCAGTTGTCTTCACGTAGAACAATGGATGCTGCTCTGGGAGCGTCATTCACAAGTGCTAACTTGCCAAAATCGTCTCCTTCGTGTAGAGTACATACCACACCCTGCACAGAGCAAAACATTTACATGCAGAAACCCATCATTACTCTGGATTCTATTGAAAGTCCTTGTACAAACACCGGACTTCACAATCAAATACCAAAACAAATCTATTTGGCAGGAAACCAACAGCCAAAATAATGACTAGGAAACAATACTTGATAGCTGGTTATTACTATTACTAAAGAAAGGCAAGAATAGAAAAGAATTGGCTTGTTCTCTGAAATTACATTCAGCTTGAAGGACTCTTCTGGCCCTGCTGAAGATAGAAAGTTGTTGAGCTGTTTGGTTTTTATTTTTAGGGGCACTAAAAAATAAGATCAAGTTTACGGAAATAACCACATCCTCAGCTGGTGTAAAACAGCAGTGCTCCATTTACATCAGTTCACAGTAACAGAGGATCGAGCCCATGCAGTGATCAAAAAAATGTAGCTAAATACAGATTACTTCGGAACAGACTTAGCACCAGGGCCTCTATGCTAGATTTTGGTGAAATGCTTGGTGTTCAGAATGGAGGATTCTCAGTCACTGAATGAGAAACCAGTGGGGAAGCAGGGATTTTTAGAGACTCAAGGGATTGCTGTGTTCCAAAGTCCTATTCTTTACCTCTCTCATAAACAGGAACTCTAATAAAAATGCTTTCAAGTCTTAACTAAAATGAAGAGCTGGCATAAAGTTGGGAGGGGTTCATCCAACCTGATAACCACTAGCCACAAAGCACTACTTCTGTCAGACATGCCTGACATGCCTAAGAAAAGTTAGTCATACAAATGCAGGCGAATATGGTGGTAAAGGGACAGCGCAAAAACCCCCATGAGACAGAAGTCTGGCAATTCACCAAATTCCAGCAAATGACTTTGTCCTAAAGATACTGATGTAACTCTGCTGAATTATATTCAGAAAGTGTGTAATACATCCTGAAATTATACAGTAATCAACTGGTAGTATAATCAGTGAAACCATTGGATCATTTCTTAATAAAATCACATTCAATTTGTTTCCTCAGACAAAGCAATTTTGCTCTAAATTAAACTGTATTCCTTCAAAGTTTACTCTTGCAATTTCAATAATAAGAATCATATAAAAAGGCTTCTGAAAAAAATACCTTGCCATAAATGACTACGTTTACTGATCCCTTTAGGATAATGTACCAAGAAGTACCTTCTTCTCCCTGATTAAATACTACAAGAGAGAGAAAAGATTTTATGGTGAGAATATAGTTACTCAAAATATAAATGGGCTAGATTCTGCACCCAATAAAATTCAAGGTAACTCTACAGCAGTCATATCAATATCTACCTTGAAAAGAGCATACTATGATTTTAAAAGCAATTGCCTTCAGATTTTAGAAAAACAAACCAAACACACCCATATAGTAGTTATTTTATCACACTGATGTGAAAGTTACTTTTATTTTCCATGACAATTGCAACAACTACTTTATCAATATATGTCAGGTTACCAATTACTAATCAGCACACAGATTGGATCCCACCAGTAGCACCATGTTCTAACCCAATTCTCTAGCGGCTGTGAATTTGACATTCATTTGCTAAAACTTCTCAATATAAACTGATCTGAGTAATTTTAAAATCCTTTATCTTATGCAGCAAGATTTTTTTTTAATACAAGAATAATATTAAAATACATTTTAAACAGAGAGTGGTCCAACCCAAAATTCTAGATAAAAACACACCCAAATGATAGGTGACACACTCATCCAACCAAAGATACAAAATTAATTTTGGTACTGTCCCTGCAATCAGCAACAGACTAAGCTAAGACCTATTACCCCAGGTTTTAAGCACTAAGTGCTAGTCAAGTTTGAAGAGCGCATCCAAGTTTTGCTCTTGTCATTTAAACATCAAGAATTTAAATGTTCATGCCACAGAGGAGAAACAAGATCTGACAGGACTCCGTTTACTTACAGACCGTCCCTGCTTTGGGATGTGACTCAAAAATGAGGACACCTGCTAATTCTCGCTTTACCTTAAAATAAAGAGAGAGAGAGAGAAATTATAGTTTTTACATGTATCTTACTCTTCCTGGTGAGAGGAAGCCACATAATATACCCCAGTCACTGCTTGCCTTCCCTCTGCATTGTTCAGCACTCCTTTAGAGTAACACAGCCAATGTCCTTGATGTCCAATGTTCACTTGATGTCCTATTTCCTACTGATTGCCTTTACAGAACATGAGCCTCTACATTTCCCGGTTCCAAATGGCTCAGACAAGGGCATCTTTAAGATACAGCTCTCTACATCTTTCTTCAAACACACACATGTGAAACCATCATTAACAATTACCATTAACATGATGGAAAACTTCAAATGGTAATAGCTAACCTGTTACAGAAGCGAGCTAGCAATTGTCAATTACTCCATGGGGCTCTGTGGTACTCCTTTCTTCCCAGAGAAATCAGTACCCTTCTGCTTACTGATGTGAGTCTGGCCACTTCTGCTGTGTTGAGCTGTGAGGCACAGCCATCTGGACCTGCTAAGGCCCCTCTCTGCCTGTCAGCTTCCCAGGCAAAACGTCCAGCTCACTATCTCTCCCAGGAACTGGAGAATGTGACACTGCCCTTGGCGTCAGCCTGCTCCTCACTGGGTTTGTATTGCTGTGGTGCAATTAGCTCTTACGACTGACTGGGCAGTTGCCTCTAGTGAGACACTGTTTACAACCACTTTTTCCTCACTGCAAACACTGTTAGTATTACTTTCAGAAAACAGTAGCAGCACTGGGAACCTCATATTATCCTGAGTTTTCCTGTGTGCTTTATGTCTTTCTTCATACAACTGCAAGTCTCCATGGACGTGGAGGTCAATTTCCAAGCAGTGGGATTCTTGTTTTCAGAGAATGTCGGCTGATGACAATCCATGTTTCAGAGGTACTACTGTATAACTCAACTGTGCTGAATACAGATCAAAAGCTTGCTCCAACATATATTTAGTAGTAATGTTTTCACACCATTTTCCCAACTGTTTAAACTGAAAAAATTTTAGGCTATGAAGAGAAACTTTGTGAGGAACTCTCAAATTCTGAACACAATCTAGATGAGAGTCTGGTGGCTGCAACTCCTAAGATGGGTGGGCAAATTCAGGCTCTGAAGTCCTAAAGGTTCCCATCAAACCTTTGCTCAGGCACCAAGAATAAATGTATGACACCAGCCACCTCTCCCAGAACTCTTCTCTGACAGTCAGTGCAAAGCATTCCCTGTTTGCAGTCTAGAGAAGAAGAGGGATAAATAGATGTGTTTGGACAGGTTTTTTTAGTACACTGACCAGTGAATGCACCCACAGGCCTGTGATTTCTATAACAATTAGCTCGACTCTTTTATAACCTCTGCCCAAAGGCAATGATCCTTTCACAAGGACAGGAAATACAACCTCGATTAGCACTGTTCTGCACTTTGTAGAGAGAGTTCCTATCCATGTACGTCCTCAGATATCTTAGTTGTTTCAGTCATTCGCCTCTGCAGTGAACGAATACTCTTGATGAAGCCAAGAATTTGGTTTGGTTTTAACTCTGTATTATATAACTGTTTTCATTCATACATTAACTTCATAGGCTTCTCTAGCAGGGATTAGTTCACCACCATGAGACTTGAGTTTTATCCATTTTCCTTCCTGCTGCTCATTGCATACCTAGAAAACTTATTACTTTAGGAATTATGCCTTGCTTAAAATGAATAAACATTCCATTTGCTTTCAAGTCGATTGACCATTAATCTTCTGGTTCATAGGAGCAATGCTGTCGCTTCTCTGAAGATTTCCTCTAAGCTAGTCATGGTTTCTGTCCTCTGCTTTAGTTCATGCTGCACATAATAGGCTGCCATTTCCAAACTCTTATTAAAACCGTGGAATCAACTGCACTTCTTCAAAATGCCAAGCATTTCTTGCAGTTTGTATCATTTCCCATAGTCGTTCTTGCTGTGGATTTTGACCTCAAGTCTGAATTTCTTCTGAACTGGAAATATTATGTAGTTTGGATTTTTTTGTTCTGGGTTATGTCTGCAGTATCAAGAGTATTCTCCACTCCCTCACAGTATCTGTCTATCTTGGGTAGTTTCTTTTATTTGATTTGAAAAGGGTCATTTCTGGATCCTACAGAGGTCTTTCTTTAAATACTTCTTTCCTGCATCCCAGAGATGCTTAAGGATTTTGGCTGGCTGTTCCATCTTAGGTCAGTTAACAACTCTGGATGCATATTTTTTCTGAAAAACATTGCTCAGGTGTTGTATGTTTGAACGGACTCCTATCTTTCTGTAATGCAGCTTCATAATTAGCTACATCTGTCCAAGCTAGCCGAAAATTACTGAAAATATCAAGAGCTTCCAAAGAAGCTATTGTCAAACATAAATCTACTTTCTGACTGGCTGCCTTTTCCTGAAACCACTCACATCCTGCTGCTACCAAGTAAAGTGCTATTTAGCTTGTTTCAGTTGCCTACTCCATGTGTAAACAATGGTGAGACTTCAAACAGTTGCATTCTCTCTTCCAGGTATTTTCTCCATTTCATTTATTCTCAGTTCTCTGCACTGTTCTTGCCCACTCAGACAGAAGGTGTCTGATGAAGTTTCCTTCACTCAATGACCAAACTCCAACCAGCCAGCACTGCACAGCACATCTTTCTGCACTATGTAATTCCTCCTAACTGGTTCAAGCCAAGATTTCTTATAGTTCAGAAATCAGACATCTATTCTACAAAATTCAGTAGCGCCACAGTGCCAAGTGTCAGGTCAGATTGCACGCATCTTAATTTAAACTCAGACACAGACCAAGACTGAGGCACCTGTGCCGAGCAAGGTAGGGGATGTGCAGAAACACACAAAGAGAATTACACCTGATACCCAAAAGACAGTCTACATCTGCATAGTGCTTGGGTGGTCCTCACAGGTGGGAATAACTTCTTTGCATGGGAAGTATAAGTGGAAAGAGTTATAGGCACTCCAATTCTAATAAAGCACCAGAAGTAAAAATTCAACCTCCCTTCTGGTGATAAGTTATATTTTCAAAAATACTTACTGTGGTAGAAAGATGAGATAAGGCCTTAATGTGAAGAAGTTCTTCATATATAAATTCTAAGTCATCTACAGTTCTCTGGCCAGGCCTATAGAAAGAAGATAAATAGGACAGCAAAATGCAATAAATGCCCAAAATAAACACTTCAAAGAAGTACAAAACAACACAAAACGCTGTTGTACTGTCTACTGAAGGGTATATCCTCACTAAACAGGGACTGAACGATGGTTCTGGCTGGAGGACTGAAACACACAAAGGATGGAAGCACTATGAAACCACCTGAATGACACTGAGCAGCAGCCATAGCAACCACCTTAGAGAGATCCTAATTAAACAGCTTGCCTGATGAAATCAAGTGTTCTATATGTAAAAGGGTCAGATAAATCAGAAATGGTATATAAAGACCTGTGCCTTTCAAAAGGACTCCTGAGTGTGGGACCTGCACTATTTTTCACATGCAGCACTAATTAGTTGTAGCAAACAGACAGTAGCAGTGGTTTGTAAAGGAGTGCATGAATTTCTGCTGAACAAATTGGAAGAGGCAGCAGTGCATCTTGGAGGACAGTAAATGACTGCTATAGAGCAGTCTGTTGTTGTTTAGCCACAAAGGTAAAAAGAATCACCCGGTAGTTTCAACTTCTCTCACTGAAAAATAGAAGAAGTTGCCATTAATAAAAAGCATGCATTGATGGAGGAATAATCCTCCTATAGCACAATGACAAATGAGGCTGCCACTGTGACCGAAACGATTGCATTTCTGTAGTCTACACAACAGAGAATCTTCTGATTGCTAAAAAAGGACACAAATACTCTGAGGATCGCAGTGTGTCAGAGATGCTTTGGAGGATCTAATAATCAGTACCCATGAGAAGGAGTTGTAGGAGCTTGTGAGTAACTCCTAATCTTTTTCCCACTCATAAGATTCTCTTCAGTTAAAGCGTTTAATACAACTTTACTTTCTAAAAGGACAAATTCTTCTGTGATATCATTTCATACAGTGCATTGGAGTTGCATACATACACAGAGAAAAAAATTCTTTAAAGTATTATTCCAAGTTACTTTTACAAGACTAAGTCCTTTCAAACAATATGTTTTAGATTTGTGAAAAGCAGAATATAAGTAATTAAATCAATGGGCCAAGAACAGAAGAAAAAAGAAACCTAGCCATAAGAAAGGAGAGAGGATAAATTTAAGATGTGAGGAAATGGGATATAGAAAGTCCCATCCAGGGCAGGAGTTTCAAAGGAGAAGGTTTACATTCTTGCATTAATAACAGGCTAGTGTCCAGCTTCAAATCCCGCTGTCTGCAATGTGTGGTGTCAAAAGAATTAACAGCGCAGTTGAATCTTTGGACAGCCCTGAAAGAAACGTCACAAAGAACGTTTTGGATACAAGTTTTCCTCCTAAAATGTCAACATTACAGCAGATTGTAGCATCTACTGGATCAGGAAAGTCATATAAAGAAATATAGTGCTTTACACGCTTTCTGCCTAATGACCTCTTGGTTTAACAATCTGTCTACATCATGTGTGAGGCAGAGGGAGTACTCAGCAATCGTGTCACTCTGAAGTTATATTTTTGCTAAAGAAGTTTGATGCAGACTTCTTTTGGATGAAAGAAGTACTTGAAAAAGTCATAGAAAACATAAGCACAACTGACATCTCCACTAAGCAAGGTACGTTTTTCATCTGTTCTTAACTTACCAATGAGACGCATTTATTATGACCCAGATTAAAGACCAATTTAGACACGAAAAATGTTTTGGATTAAATTATTCTTTCCTCATACAGAATGGAATAAACTGTTAAGGGAGAAACAGAAACTGGTTTGGTACTGCAATGCCCTCTAGTGACTCAAAATGCACTTTACTATTTCTAAATCTGGCTTGAAACTATAAGGCTGCCACTCGTAGTGTTTTATGTGGGGCAGTAGCAGCTTAATTAAGTACGGAATAAAGCTAAGCCAGTGCTAGATACCTTTCATTGGAGATTTAAGAAACACGAGGTAAGGATTTTAACATATAATACTTCCCGTAGGAAGTAACAACTTTAATTCTATTACATGCTTGCAAAACCAGCATGTCTTGGAAAATGGAAAAAAAAAAAAAATTGCTACATGAAATTAAAATATAAAAGGATGATGTCTTACTACATCAGATCTCTATCAAGACAAAAGGGTACAGTCTTTATTCAGTATGTTCATTTGCCTCCTGGGTAAGCACATTGGGAGAACTGACAATCTATAGTGGATGTACCCAGTCTTTACTCTGCTCCTGCAAAAGTCACGTGAAGAGATATTAGGCATCTCTGCTTCTGTAAAACCTACGTGGTGACCCACTGATGTTGATTTGTAGGATCCTGCTGTGTAAAGACCTAGTTTCTGCAGGGGACACATTCTAACAGCAATAGCTGGTTATAGACAGGATAATAAATAGAATAGGTAGAGAACGAGGCTACACATTAACGGACAGGACAACTCAGGTGATATTAAGTGATCAATAAAAACTGCTCAGTGTTTGGAGAGTTTATTAAGGTCAGAGACATCGACCTTCTCTGTGACTGGGATGTTGACAATAACATAGTACTTTGCCATTGATAAACCATGTATGTACAAGCAATATCATTGTTTACTTCTATTACACAGCCAACCAGAAAATTCTCAGATAATAAGAACAAGGGAAAAGATCAGAGACTCCCTGGCATTCTGATTATACGTCAAATAAGCATATATTTCCAGAGTACAAATTTTGTTTCAAGTACCATTAAGAATATACAGGAGACATGAATAATTTTACTCAGTACCTGTGTCTGAGTGTGAAAGTGAATGCATGTTCGCTTACTCTAGCATGGAAGCTAATGATGTAATCTTTGTACTTGAATCAGTGCTCCTTGATTAACTCCATAGATATCATTTACCACATGTAACACCCATAAATGTCAGTGAACTGGTATGTGGAAAGATAATCTCTATATCCTGTCCCATGAATAACACTTGGTTTATTAAATGTCATTGGCAGGAAACTTCACCAAGGACTATAGAACTTAATACAGTCTTTACCGGGCTGTGTATAGCCTTTTTGGGGGTTGGACTATATGACTTTTAAAGGTCCCTTCCAACCCAAACTATTCTACAATTCTATGATTTATGGAGAAATCCAGTATGGTTCTTACTATTAATAGCTGGGTGGCATATTTAAATAAAAAATTTTAAGAACAAAAGAATACATATATCTTGCTTAGTTTTTACAATACCTTCAAGAAGCTACAGATTCTTAGCAATAATGAAATTGCTATTTTATTGTATGCATCTCTTGTGCTGATTACCACATCTAGATTTGTTTTCACTTCCTCTCCCTAGCATCCTGTCGAGCTTACTTCTGCAAGTGACACTAAAATTTGATTACTGATCACATGTAGAATCAAACACTCTTTGTACTGAGAAAAAAAATCTGCTGAGTGAAGTCACCAAGAACATATAACACAGGTTTTGTGTTTCATACTGCTAACTTACTGTAGCCTAGAGTATTAAAAAATAATATAATCTGTAACATCACCTGAGTTAAATACTATTGTCTGATGAATATCATTCTCCCTTTAAAGACTCCTGTTATTATTGTGTTTAGCTTTGATTATAGAATCCTATTTAATTAGGGTTTACCATGAAGTTAGCTATACCTGAACACCACTAAAATAAAATAAAAATAACCAGAAAAATGTTTTCAGGATGTATTTTCACACTGAAGGATTGAAACACTTTTAAGGAAAAGCTGTGTTAATTCTACCATATTTTTTCCAGGGACTTGCTCAAGGTCTGCACCTGTGCTCTAGGCATTCTAGGGAGCAGAGAGCTGTGTTTGCTACTTCACAAAAAGCTGTTTTCACATTCAGTGTATGTGTTTCCAAAGAAAAAAACCCCACCCAATAGCAACAAGAGCCTGCCAAAAATTTCCCTGAGCTCTATTCTGTTTTTTAAACTATAGAACATTCTTTCACAGTTTGACAGTTAAAATGCTGCAGTTAATGTAATAAACAGAGAAATTTTTAAGTCGCCTGTCAAAACAAGTGACACTTTTTGCTAGAGATTTTCAGATTTTGAACAATAGAAAGTACCTTTCAAAGCAACAGCTTCATTATACAATCAAATTCTCCAAGCAATCTTCTCATCAAAGAATATTGTCTTATTTCTTTCAGGGTAATTATCCGAGTTCTGCAACCTTTCTGGAAATGGTGACTATTATAAAATACAGCTGTGGGTTTGAAAATTGTGGGTCCTGCTCAGGTCAGCAAGAGCCAGTGTCTCTGAAGCCCTGACAATTCCTTGAACTTTTGGCAACTGTAAGAGTGTCTAGTCAAAACTAGCAGGACTCTGAGGATTCATGGAATTTTTAACAGCTTTTATACAGCTCAGCCCGGGATGGATTTTCAGCTAACAAAACCATAATGTATGTAAACTGAATACTAGGAACAGCAGTTAATATGGTGTCTGGCAGTACAAGGTTGCTTCCATGAGCAAAGGGCAGCAAAAATAAGCACTTTCAGGGACAGGGATAAGGAAATATGTCAGATGGCTGTTGGTCTTGAGAGAACCTCTTTCCTCTCACTATATTGCATGAAAAATCTCCTATGAATATTCTTTCAGATTATGCTGTGCAAGTGATGACATAGAGGCGAGAGCAGTACTTTCCACAGCATCATTCCAGCCTTTCAGCTCTCTGCAAGGAGTGTGGACGACAATCAACATTGATCCTACCAGGGTAAACTTAGACTGGCTGCTCTGAAAGTCACGATGGAAAGCAAATGTAGTAGGCAGCCAAAAACCATGATCATCTAAGGGGGCAATTCTCCAAGAGACAACCCGCTCAGTCAGCCTGAGACAAGGGAGTTAGTGCAGAAGCGCAGCGTCACAGCACACACACAGCACTGCTCACTGTCTCCTAATGACAGGCGTCTGCTCATGGGTGCAGGAAGCCCTCTTTTGATCCTTAGTGGAGAACGCACAGGAGATCTCTGTGAGTAGAACACACCTGACTTCCCTGACACCATAAGGCTTTATGGAAGCAGCATGCTCCCAGTTCGGTTTGTTTATGTATTTTGTGTGACAGGGGCTGAGTGCTCCTTTAGTTGTGTTTGACTAGACCTCTAAGAACCAGAGGAAAGAGAAGTTATACTTTTAAAAGTTTTGCTGCATGGCAGTGTTACCTATTTTTATAAGCACAAGTACCTGATGGCACCTTTTGAAATTCAATGCTTTTAGGAAGACTTTGGAAAAGTGCCATCTAAATGAGCTTACAATCTAAACAGTCAACACCAGTGGAAGAATGGAGCGAGAAAAGGATACAGATGGAAACAGAACAGAAGCAAACACTCACGTCAAGTGGATTCAAAACATCTGCAGTACAAAAAAAGTGTTCTCGCACTCTAGGCAGGGCCAAATCCTGTCCCATAGCAAACACAAACTTTGCCAATGGCCTCAAAGGAACAGGATCTTTGTGTACTTATCTTTCTTGAACTGACCATTACAGGTAAATCTCCAGAGAAGATGACCTTAAGTAATTCACTATTCTCAATGTGCTTAATTAACAGTAAAATATGTCTTCAGTGGCCCCTAAACACTACCTGCATAATGAAAAGGTTGCCTTCAATAGAGGGTCAAACAGAGTTTATACTGGTTGCTTTGAAGTCACTATAAAGCTGCCTGTAAAAAAAGCCTTTAGCACAGTTTTCAGTGTGACCAGATTGTATTGCTGAAACGACAGTTAGCCAACGGATGAGTCAGAGGACATGATCTGATAGCTATGAAAAGGTTAGGCAAACATTCTCTGTGGCCTAGGTACAGAAAACAATTTTTTTTTAATGTATTGAGTTTATAACAATAAGAATGGATAAATAAACCCACAGAGCCACTTTTCACACTGTGCTAGCAAACTACAACAGGCCAAGTCTAGCCTATCTTAATCCAATAAAGTTCTACCAAGGATGAATCTAATTAATGGCTGCCATTGACAACTGTAATTGAAAGGTACCTGCTGTGCGGCCATCCTACCACTTAACTCATTCACAATAACTGAGAGCAGCACAGTTAATTGAATGACACATCTACACAGAAAGTGTTAACGGAGCAGGATTCTTCTATTACCTGCAACTTAGTTTTGGAGAGACTCCGAAATGAAATAGAAACTCATAATGCAGTATTTTCCTCAAGGTATGATAGCATTCACAGCCTTTGATGGTTATTCTCAACACACAGTTCAAATCAGAAGCATTAATAAGGACTGGAAATTACTTAATATGCACTTAAAAACTTTAGAGGTTGAACAAACTGCCACTGAAGTGAAAACAACTGGCCAAAGGATGCCTGATAATAACTGCAGAATTCTCTTGTTTCCATGTCACCAGGAAGGCCCATGTATAATGTTATCTCATTAATCTGCTTACGGTTTTCTGAGAATCATCCTCATATGAGCATCTGGCCCAATCTGAGACAGAAGCAGCATAGTGTCCTGTAGCTCCTCATCACACTCCTTTTTCTCTTCCTCGGTTGGCAGAGGGGCATCTTCATGCTCATCATCCAAAAATCGATAAAATAAGTATTTGTCTTGAAAGTGGTGTTCCTGATCCACTGAAAACAACGTAACACATCAAACACTAAGCTCTCCTCATTGAAGTTAACCTTGTAGAAATCTGTGTAGCACTGTATATGTCACAGATAAATTAGTTAAGAAGGGAAAGCTACAGAGAAACTGCAAGAGTATGAAACACCTCTGTTTCCCACATATGTCCAAATTATGTAGCTTGAAGGGTACACTTTTAAATTGTGTACTACAAATAGTTTCAAAAAGGCTTCCATGTATGTGTGTTGGGGGTGTGCATGTGCATGTTTTTTTTCTTATTAGATCTGATTTTGTTCTTATTGTTTCAAACCATTCCATTTAAGCAAACAATTCACACTGGGGAAATGGTTACATCTTGAATTTCTAAGAGGTGTTCTCTAGCACAAACATCTTGCCCTATATCTTTCACACAGGGTTACAAGGTAACAAAAGCATCTAAACTCTTTCTGATGTACCATAAATGTACATCACCAAGATACAATCCTAGTGGCAAGTTCATTGACCTGTGTCCTGGTGGAAGAACTTAATGGAAAGTCTAACAGGAGAAGGCTTCTAAAGAGAGGCTATGATATGGACAAACCTTGGACAAAGCCTTGGTTTTCCAAGCAAGTCAGAGTGATGTGCTGAGAGGGACACTGTGATGCACCTTACAACAGCTTTCCCCTAGGAGTCTGAGGGAATATTTGGCAGGAATCAAAGCTAGAGCCCTTAGGGTAAGGAAGCAGTGGAATCACTCTGTCTTCTCAATGTGGAAATTTCTCCCTGGGATATGGGAAGCACAACAGCAGATAAATGGAAGAGTACTGTAATAGAGCTGCTCTTCTGAACTTAATAAAACTGCACATGTAAAGCTTTAAATATGAATGTTGCTTTAGAAAGCTACCCTTTTGAGGGCTATAACATCCTGTTACCAAGTAAATCCTGCCAAATGGAAACTGAAAGTCAATGTAAAATACAGTCAGAAAACTAACATAAAATCCCAGATCTCTGCACTGGAATATTTGGAGTGCTGAAGTTGGGAACCATTCCAAGCCAACTGAAAATCATTAAAAAATTACGGATCTGAGCAAACACAAATGCTGACATTCACTTCCAAATGCTGCCAATCTTTGATGAAGACCAGTTTGTGTATGGTAATGCATCTCTCTGTTTTGGCCTGAGTGCTATCCAGCTCTTGCAATATAAGCACCAGCCAGTGTACTCCTAAGTATAATCACAGTTACCATTTAAATTGTTCATTTACTTTTCAAAAGTCTCATAAGTTAAAAAGGTATATTGGCAGCAAGACTCAGGTTATACTGCCTGTGTGTTGCACTTGCACTTATGAATGAACAGGGTGCTCTCTGCAGCATTTCTTTTGGGCTCACAATCCCTTCCTTTCTTTTCCATGAAAGAGATCTACTGAGGCGCTGATGTTACACATTGCCCATGTTTTAGTCAAGATGCTGATTTTCTTTATCTTACCATGGTTAAGAACACTTTCTTCCAGCAATACTTGCCACATGCCAACAGCCTGGGTTCGTGAATGGACACAAGGACTTTGCTGCATCAGCCAGTCAACTAGTTCTGTCCCCACACAGCATTGCCTGAAGGACAAATAAATAGATAGAAATGAAAAGGGAGCTAGCCAAGAGAGGGATCACAGTGTCTGCCAAGAACAGCGATATCTTAAACTCTGTATAATCTTAGTCAAATCTCCCTACAGAAAACACAATGTCACCATCCATGCGTACATGCTTGAAATACCAGTGAAGGTGTTCAGTTTTGAGAGGACCACCTCAGCAGAACAACAAGTGTTTCGGGAAATGCAAAGCTCAGAGTAAGCCTGTGCCACCTAGTACAAAACCTGTTTCACAAGTGAAACAACACCCAATCCAGATTTCAAAGGAAATCTTCTCTGATTACTACAGGATAGCAAAAGCCTCATGCTTTTCAGAATCCTGCATGAAAACAACCATCTAACACTATAAAAGCTTTGCCAATGAGAACAGCCTCCACAGGAAGAGTAAGTGCTATGAGGGTGTTCCTGCATTTGTAACCAAACTCTGGCCACACTGTATTTGGGGACATTGGTTTGCAGGTCTACAGTGTTTCTGAGGCGCTCTCATGATTCAAGGTTCTGGTCACCTTGCAGCTCCTGACTAACCCAGAGGCAGACAACAGCAAGCCTCAAGTTCTGGAGAATGTCCAAAGAGGGGGGAAAAAACCTGAAAAAGCCACACGGTCACTAAATAAAATTCTTTGTCATAAGACTCCCTAGCTCAGCAGAACAGAAGCAAATAAGCAATGTGACCAAAAACTTACAAATCTATAACTGATCACACGCAGAACAGAGGGGAAGCTGGCTAGTCCTTCTACAAAGGCTCTCTCATGGCTCCACACTTCATGCATCACTTTCAGAGACCAAGGGAATAGGCAATACTGAAATTCCTGAAATTTAGCTTAAATAATGCTCTTCCAATTAAAATCCCATTTTGATGATGAAACTTTCCCTCACCTGGATCCAATATAAATGTCATTCCATATTTAAAAATCCCAATGATAGAAAAGTAAGAGTTTTTCCCGGTTACGTATAAGATAAAATGGTGCAGTTGTTTGGACCAGCATTGGTCTTCGTTTATCATACATGCTCTTTTGTTCTTCTAGAACAATGAGAAATATCATATTGTGATATATTCTCAGATCAGCTCACAAGCTCCAAATACTTTGCATCACGTTAAACACATTTTGGATTGAGATATGGAAAATCAATGCACTTATTTCAAAAGCGGATCAGCAACATTGATTCACTATTTAGAAAAAGACATACTCAGAGATTTTAAACCAATTTTTATTTAAATATACTCTAAATAATGCATTAGGTATTTGATTTAAACATTAGACACTAAAACAAATTGTTTCTTAAGCCAACAGTAGATAGATACTGAGTCCTTGAAGTCAGATTCCTATTCTACAGGCCCCATTGTTATCTCACTTAAGCAGGACAGTGCTGCCACCAGCAGGAAAATAAGAAAGCCTGGCAATACACTGAAAAGAAAATAATTTTAAATAGAGCAGAAAATCTATATAAGGAATGTTTCTCACCAGGAGAATTTTCAGAAATTCCACACTGAGCAACACCACTATAGCAATCAGTACAGTAACATAATATATTAATGAACTTTTCTATTATCTCTTACTGATAAACAAAGAGGAAAAAAAAAATCCACATTTTAACTTGACATTGCACAGAATATTCCAGCTAACTATGATATTAACTTTGGAAGAGTTTTTGTATGAGAATGCTCTGTTCACAATCATGGACTCAATTTCCAGTCAAATTACTTCAGAAAAGATTTACCAGGCCCATTAAAGATTGCATATCATCCAGACTCAAATGCATCACAGAATAATTTCAGACCTTTTGAGACCTGCAAGTACGGTAAGGCATAAACCACAAATCAGAGGATGGCAGGCATAAAAATTCAGAGACCTCTATACAATCAGCTCACACACCTGTAAGTCTTCAGATGGTATTTACGATCTCTTATCATGTGAGGGGCTCGGGACAGAATTGTATTCCGCAAAATCTTTCCAGCTCTGAGGATCTTCTCAGAAGGAACCTTGACGATCATGGAGGAAAAAAAGGGACCAAGACACACAGATTTTAAACTTTCCACAATCTCTGTACCGCCTTCTGCAAAACAAAACGCAAGTTCTCTTTTCCCTAAATTACAAGTCCTTGCACAGATGCTTACTTCTGCAGAGCAATGTAGTATATACTCAGGATTTTAAGTCTCACATACTTATCACATCTAACAGAAAGCATCAGTTCAGCTGATACACATCACACTTGGAAATAGGAGTTACTTCCATTTGTTTTAGCGGCCTGGCTCTACAGAACACCTATGTCCTATTACCTGTGTAATGGTTTTAGTAGGACGATGTGGGATGTGAGGTTCAGTAAAAGGTGTCTGAAAAATAAAATGAAATTAAATAAATTTTCAAAGATTGAGCAGTAAAATAAAGGCTAAAATAAAAAGATGAACAAAGCTGTAAAAACAAAGAACAATGTGTAAGTCCAAGCTCTGTCCAGGGCACATGAGTAGAAAAAGCTCTCTGAAGACATCCTAAAGGCAAACTTGGCTCTTAATGCTCAGCAAATTAAAACAGTGACATGACACATGAATAACAAATGCATGTTAAACTTTCTAAAGTACTAATGAAGTGTGTAATGGCCAAACATCACACTAGATCTGACGCTACACGGGCATAGCCAGCTTTGCTGCTCTCGAGCTGCAGTGGGCACAACAGCATTCCTCCATACACGGCTGCCTCCGCCATTCAGTCCCCACCACAGAAACTCTCTCCTCCTTCAGCACCTTTTTCTATTCAGCTCTCTTCTCTCTTACAGCACACCACAAGAAACAGGAATGAAGAAAAAGCTCTGCTCCCACTATCTGTCTTTTCTAAACTACCATCGGACCTAGCTGGCAACCCTGTTATTGCTGCTCTCTGAAATGCAAGAGCATGCAGGCCACTCACAGACACCTGGCTAAGGACTTTCACCAAGGGGCTGGTGAAGCAAAAAAGAAAAGAGTAAAGCAGGTGACTGGGTTCTGCAAAGGGAAGAGTCAAAGGGAAGACTATCAGGGCTCTACAAGAGAGAAGCTGAGAAGGGGATGAGAGAAATGGGAAAACAGGCATGTAATGAACAAGTGAAAGCAGAGAGGAGACAGGAAGCACATGGCACAACACAGAGGAAAAAGGAAAAGCAGAAGGTTAAAGGACAGCAGAAATGGAGACAAAGAAGAAACCTGAACTTCAGCAGCCGCCTCAGAATTATGGGAAGTTTTGCTTTGTTCATACTGGTAGTTAACAGCATGGACCAAATTTACTTCTAGCGTGAAATGCCAGGAGACATGACACAAGGGCTGAGTTTGGCTGGTGTTCTGGGCTTGCCGACAGGACAGATCATACTGAACGCAGAGGTCTCCCGCAAGGGCAAGACCTTGCACCTTGGCCATGGCAGGGACAGCTCCCTTACACCCGTACCGCAAAGGCAGATCAGCCAGGTCAGTACGGTGAAACACATACTGTGTACTGCTGCATTGCCGGGTATTGGTTTTCTTAAGCTGGGCATCTGTTTGTTAGCTCCCACAGGATTTTAACAATGTGACAAAGTCGTTGTAGTAAGCAAATAGCGTTGGGAGCTACAAATGCACGACGAGACTACAGGTCAGCCAGGAAGGGGAAAATGAGGGAAGCATATTACAGAAATCAATAAAGATAAGATAATCTTAACAGAGAGGCCTGTATATAGAAAACAATACAAATGGTTTTTCATTTCTACTCATACTTTACAAGAAGTCTCTGAAAAGGCAAATCAATACAATTAAATTGGGATTCTTGATTTTTCTCATTAATAAGTCAACAATTTTTCAAAGACACATTTAAGTTACGAACATTTCTGTTCCACCAGAAGAGTTTTTTTTAGAACATCTCTCAGTATTTCTTGGTTTCTGGAACTGTGTGGAGCATGCTTTAGACAGTCTACATCTGCAGTTACAGCATGCTAAGAATAGCAAGAATCTTTTGATAGATGCCTCTAATGCAAACAAAACCACTTAATAACAGTTTCAAACAGGTATATAAATAAACAAGGTATATAAATAAACAATGAAGTTAGAGATACCACTCTGAGTATTAATAATTTTTGCTTCCATTTTCTTTTAAAAGGATTTCAAGTCTTCATCAAGTTCAATGAGAATGAAGGTAAATGTACACTTACATTGTTAGCTAAATTGGCACTGAAGTCACTATGAAAACTACTTTAAAATTCTACATTCTTAAAAGATTTTTTAAAAAATCAATAAAGCACAATACTCTCAATCTAGCTTCCAGATTTTAGTTCTAGTTAGGAATACACTTCAAAGGAGAGATAAAATGTGTAAGACAGAAATGTAAGAGACTTTTACAGCAAGAGACTAGTGAAAATGAATGCACATTTTTGTTCTTTAGAGTTTCCATTAAGCTCTAACAAAAATGCATACAACTAACAGATGAAAAAAATTGAATATGGATGAAGATTTGTCAACAAATCTCCCATTCTAATCAAAATCAAAAAATCAAAAAGAATATAACAGAGCATTTAGAAGAAATCTGATTCAACTCAACAGTACAGAAGAAAAACAAGGTGAAAGCTAAGGCACAGCACAAGAATCTGCAGAAAGCAGCAGGAAGGCTTGTTCACCTCCATTTGATCCTGACCAATACAGAAGGATCAGCTGTGAAGACAGAAGGTAACTCGGGTGAAGGTGATCATGAAATGATCCAGCATGAGAACTTCACAGAAGGAAATAAGAACAAAGTAGAAACAATGGACTAGGAAGAAAAATTTCCATAAAAACAGAATACCGATAGCTAAATTCCTGGAGCAGGTCGTGGCGGAGCAAGTGTAAGGTAAAAAGAGTTAAAGAGAGCTGGCAGTTACTTAAAGAAACAATACTAACCACACATACAATATATACTAGCACAGAGTTAGAAGGTGTAATAAAGACTCAACTTAGCTACAGAAAGAGCTCTTCACAGAAACACAAGAAGGAAATGCAGAGAAATGAGAAAGTAGGGGGTTTACAAAAGGCAAGTGTAAAAAATGAACTGAATAATAAGGACAGAATTAGAAAAGCAAAGGTAGAAAATGAGACAAATCTACCAAGAAATGTCAACAGGTACAAAAAATATACCAAAAGTACATTTGTAGTAAAACAAAGAAAATAAAAAGTGTTGATTTACTGTTCAACAGAGAGACATCTACTGACAGATAATTCAAGAAGCCCAGAAGCAGTTGATTATTTTTTATATCAGTGTTCATTAGAAAGGTCAGTGGCAGAGAGATGGCTAATATTCTAACTAGTAGTGACAGGAGCAAAATATCAGCCTGAAAAAACCAAAAGAACGGATGAGAAAATCCTGTGTAAATTAGCTATATTCAGATTGGCTGGGTTTGTAGAATTTCATGCAGGAAACCTGAAGAAACTTAAAGAGCGCTGCAGCCATCTCAGAACCATGAGCAGCCACCTCTGACTACTCTTGGAGACTAAAGCAGGTAGCTGAAGAGAGAAATATAGAAAAAGAAGGAGCTGGAAAATTATAGACATGTCAGCTTAACTTCCTAGAAGTAGTCCATTTGTAAGCACCTGGAAAAGAGCATGGAGATGAATCACATGTGACGTATATTAATCAAGAACAAATCATGCCACACTGATCTAATTTCTTTCCATGACTCGGTAGTAACACTAATAGACTAGGGAAGAAACAGTAGATTTTCAGCCCTTTACTTTAGTAAGACTTTGACACTGTCTCATAAGTTATTATCTTCTGCAAAGGGCAGATTAAATTCTTACAGAATGGGTGCAAAGCCTGTTGGAAAAGTATATTTTGAAAGCAATGACCAGTGAAGTGAAGTCAAACTGGCAGTCATACCAAAGGTCTGTTCTGAGCAGCGTTCTCAAGAATATATCGCATCCGATAATATTAAATATTAACATGGGATGAAGTAGAATGTACACTGATTGATTTTGCAGGAGACTTCAGGATGGGAAGGACTGCACATACATTGGAGAATAAATTTATAATTTGACAGAGTTATGACATTGGTCTGAAAAAAATATGATGCTGTTATGCAACACAAATAGTGCTGATTACTTTTCCAAAGCAGGCAGAATCAGTTATATAAAGACAGGGTAGGGAATAAGTGTCTTAGCACAGTTCCACAGAAAAAGAAATAAGGTTTATAATAGATATTAAACAGAACTGAATAAGCAATGTCATACTTGTGTGAAAGCAACAAATACTGTACTGGGATGTAGTAACAGATTAGATATATAATGCAGTTCTGCTTTAATCAGCCTAGATAAGATGAAAGCTAAAGCACTGTGTGTCATCTGTCCACTTTACTTCAAAAGCACCTAAATCAACTGGACAGAATTTAGAGGACAGCAACAAGAATAAATAGAAGGCACAATATAAATAATCAAAGTTGTTCAAGCTAAGGAAAAGACAAGTCTTAGCAGGAGTGTGATAAAAAAGTCTTCGATTTAAAAGGCCTTTAAAAAAAAGTGTCCTAGTCCATCATGCAGAGATCAGGAAACAAACAGTTTAAATTGGTGTAAGAAAGATTCCAGTTAGGCATTGGTGAAGCTTTTCTAACAGTGTGGACAGTGAGTGAACACTGGCTCTGATTCCCAGGGAGGTGTTGTTCCTCCATCTTCACAGGCTTGGGAGGATACGTAAGACATCTGCCAGGAGTGACACTGCTATAGTGAATTGTACATGTGGCTCAGAGATGGCCTAGATGCTTTCCTGAATTACCCTTTAGCCTCTTTGTGTGGTACTGGGCAATTTTCGAGGACACCTTTACATGTCTAAAATTAGTTCGACCACAAGGTGGAGCTTAAGAGAGATAATCAGTAATACATCGCCCAGAGCAGCAAGCCCAGGCTCAAGAAAGCAAGGCAGTCACTCCTAATGAAGAACAACGTCGTGGCCATCGAAAAGACATGCCCAGCAAAGAGTCTCCTCAAAGTCAGAGCCTTTCAAAGCTACTGCAGTGAACTCCAGCTGCACTAGTGATGAGCATTTGCAACAAATGGAACCACAGGGCTTGGACTGAGTTTGCTATAGAAAGGCAAGTCATGCTTCAAAGGCAGAGAAATGTAACAGCAATTAGTTCACAGGAGATACGGTGTTCCAGCAACAACTTCCCATCAGAAAAAAAATGGATTCTGTAAGGGATCATATCTTAGAATAACAGTCACAACTTGGCTGAAGTCCAATAAATGTTTTGTAGGTCTTCACGATCGTGGATCTCCCATTGAGGGCTGCTTAGAAAGCACTTAGGAAAAAAGAAGTAGCTCTCCCTGTAAAACAGCAGAGAGCAAGTAGAGTGTTTAACTACCGTCTTAACACATTC